GACCTTGGCCCGAGCAGCATTCGCGAACGACACCAGCTGCGGGGCATCGGGTACAAGCTCCACCATGTGCTTCGCGACCGCCTCAAAGAGTGCATTCGCCTCATCGCACACCTTGACAACTGCGTGACGTCCAGCCTGGTCAGTCGGCACGTCGTGCCGCATGAACTCTTTGAAGTCATTGGCGTAGAACTGGACGAGACCCAAAAGCTCTGCCTCCATGCCGTCGACCATGCCCTGACGCATGTTCGCCTTGAACTCGGGATACTTCATGACCGCCTCCGTCGTGCTCGACATGGTGGCGGCCTCCTGCAACGACGCCATGGCCTCCTGAAACTTGGGCGCAGTGAGCAGCGTGCTGGCACATTTGACGGTGTAGTCGTCGACGTACTGCTTGAACTCCATCACCCTTGAGATCGTGGCCCGTGCAACCGAGGGCAGAGAGTCCTCCTTTCCCTTGGGAGGCCTATCGATGAGCATCTTGATCGCCCTGTCGTGCGTGGTGCCACAACGACGCCATGGCCTCCTGAAACTTGGGCGCAGTGAGCAGCGTGCTGGCACATTTGACGGTGTAGTCGTCGACGTACTGCTTGAACTCCATCACCCTTGAGATCGTGGCCCGTGCAACCGAGGGCAGAGAGTCCTCCTTTCCCTTGGGAGGCCTATCGATGAGCATCTTGATCGCCCTGTCGTGCGTGGTCGAAGCCGCCACGTTGAAAAGGCCAAGGCAACCGCGCCAACAAGTACACGCGTCCAGCAACGCCTCGGCATACGAGTCGTCCATCTCCTGAGAGAGGACGTCGGCGTAGGCCTCCAAGCACCACGAGCAAGCCTTCAAGATGATGTCGATGGACTCCGAGTTTTTCGCCAGCAGCGGCACGATGAGCTTCTCGAGGCTCGCAGTGAAGTAGCTCGCGAGTTCCGAAGGAGACCCCTCGCACTGCCACAGCTTGGGTACCCTCCAGTCGAAGTTGTCCTCGTCGTCACAGCCGCTGATGTTCAAGGGGAAGATGGTCTTCAAAAACCGTTGGATGCCATCTTTGTCTCTGAACTCCATGTTCGCAGTAGCTCGGCACACGTAACGGTGAAACAACTTAAGCTTCAAATTGGTCGGCAGCTGGCCGTGGGTTGCCCTCAAGAGTTCCGCAATGCGGGTCGTGATGAAATCGTCCTCCACCTTGGCCACGTCGCACTCGCTGATGTCGATCGCGTAGCCCACCAGCAAGATCTGCTCAGCCAGCAAGCTCTTCTTGGTGTCTGAGGCTGGGGTATTGTTGTAGTGCGTCTGAGCGAAAGTCTTCTTGCGTGCCATCGCCGCCCCGCTCAGCGCCTTCATGAGGTCGAGCTTCTGGATCCACTCGGTCGTGCTGAACTTGCGCCGCTTACCATCTGGCGCGCCGTCGTCATCATCAAGATCTCCATAGATGGTAGAACCGCCCCTGCGTAAACCAAGCCCCGACGAAGCTGCACAGCTGGGGGTCGATTTTCTCCTGCCTGCTGTCGTCTTCGCGACGGGGGTGGCATCGTGCAGCATGGGCCCGCTCTCCGCTGCAACGATAGTGTCGCCCATCAACTCATCGAACTCTGCATCTACTTCGGGACCTCCTGCAGCACTGGCGGCGGCAGCAGCTCCACCAGACCCCGAGGCCGAACGACCGCCCGACGAGGAAACGCCGATGGGCCCGCTTGATGTCTTGTCGCTCTTCTCAAAGATCGTCTGCCTGATCTCGTTGGGCTCGACCGACTGGGCCCGCAACTTCTGCAACGCCGATCCCACGGGATTCAAGTCTGACTTGAAGACGCTCTCGAAGATCTTGTCCTCCTGGCCAGACCAGAGGTGGTCGCTCTTCGACATGATACACAGTACCTTTTCCAAAGCGGTCTCGTGAAACACGTCGTATCTGGCGCCAGGTCGGTCGGGATCGTTTACGAGAGCACCCTTGAACATCACACCGAACTCGTTCGGGAGGTCCTGTAGCTTCAGGCCCGCGTCCTCGATGGTGCCATTGAAAATGGACTCGAATTCGACTGGCTTCAGCCCCACTTTGCACCGATATGCGCGGTAGCCCTGCGAAGATGATTTCACGATGTCTGCGAGACGGTACACTGCCTTCGTGAGCCCCTTCCTGATGGAGCCGGCCATCTGGAAGCACTCCTTGTACTGGCTGTCGGCGCGGCACTTCTCCAAGACTTCTTCGAAACTGCCGTCTGTCTGGAAGCCAGCCAACCACGTCTTGTAGCACTCGGCATCTCCAGGACCAACTGGCACCTGCTCGCCGTTCGCCTTCTTGATGTACTCGACCCAGGGGCTAGTGTTGCAAACGCCGCAGCCGACGCAGTTGGCGGGTGCCTTCTTCCTCCTCGGCGGGGGCCTCATCTGAGCAGGAGCCTTCGGAGGCGGCGGCGTCATTCCAGTTGCCGCCGAGGCGACGCTCTCACAGCCATCACTGGCCTCGTCGCTCGCGGCCCTCCCTTGCGGCAGCGCCAAGGCCTGCTGCTTAGCACGCGCCGACTGCTTGCCCCTGGCCATGGGCTCTGCTCCTGCAAAGTCGGGGCAACTGAGCTCTCTGAGCTCAGGCACGGGTGGTGTTCAACCACTGGACTGTCCGACCAGCTCGAGCCAAAAAACAGCAACGGGGGTCGACACGGTGGGCATTGCGAGGGTGTCTGAGATCATAGGCAACAACGGTGCATTGGCTCGTGCTTGCACAGGGGGTGGATGGGGGGGGGTTATAAAAGCAATGGCAGGGACGTAGCGGGGTCAAGGTGCGTTGGCGGGCGGGAGGGGATGACAGTGAGGGGGTGGCATGAGGGGAAGGGCGACGTGGGTGGCGGGGTACGCGGGTATAGGGACAACGGGATTTCGACTCAGTATGGCCAACCACCGCTCCAAGAGCCCCTGTTGACGACCTAGGAAGGCTGTTTCTGATACGCCTGTTTGTGGACTTGCAAGTGGCGGCGCTCTGCGAGAGATGTGATCGAGAACCCTCTCTCATTCCCCTTGTCACCCTCCAGGCCCAAGTTCCATATCCTTCGCTTTGTCCTCTTCATTCCCTTCCCATCCCTCCTCCTCCTACATCGGAGCATCCTCATCAGGACCAACATGATACGACCCACCTCCTATCGGTTGGGATCCCGTTCAGTCTAAAGCTCTTGTGCCTAAACGCGCCACAACATACTTTAGCATGCGGCTCATCGATGCCAACGTGCGCCGCCTCAACGTCGAGGCATCCAATCGACCCCCACAGGCGAGACACACGCCCTGGAGCGTTGCTAAGCTAACATGGGCCACTGTGAGGCCTACTGCGCTTGCCGATCTATTCTGAAAGATATGTGCACGACAACGTGGCACGCGCTGTTTCCATGCACGTGCGACTGATTCATCCGAGGGGCAGAGGGAAGAGCTTCCGAGCAAACCTCATCGAAAGAAATCGGCATCTGGATCGCCAAGCCTCGCCCCCCAATCTCCTTATCACCCGCGGATGGGGGGCTACCAGAGCGCTGCAGTGACTGTGGCCAAGAGGACTTCACTTTCCATAGCGGATCAAACGCTCCGTCAGAGCCAGAGCACCAACGTACCAGTGCGAGGCGCTTCGGCCATCGCACGTGAAAAGATCAGGCACCAGAGCGAGATGTTTGGCGATTCGTACCCGATGCATCTTGCAAGCTACCAAGGACAGAACCTGACGCAGGCGAATGGCATCGATCATCGCCGATGCATCTCCACAAAACGATGCGACTGCGCCGATTGCTCTGTACATGAACCCTCCAGCGCATCCAGAGCAAAATGCCGAGATGCTGAGGCGCGTGCCGACGCAGTGGCTCCAGCGATGGTGCCGAGCCAGTGTCGAAAGAAACCTTCATGCTCACTCAATCTGAATCCTCACGCACATCCCAACTGTCGGACAGCTGGAAGGTCACCTTTGAAACGCGTTGTACGCGGGCCACCACAGGCGCGAGAAACACCCTGAGACTCGAAGTGCGGCATCATTTTGTTGAAGAAGGATACCATCCACCCAGGCACATCATGAAGGTTTTTGTAGACGTGCGTCTGCGTCACAGTCTTCCTGCGCTTGGGGAGGACCTCGGCAATCACCACATCACCCCCAGCCACTTCGGAGTCGGGCAAGTCGTTTGAGGACCCAGGCATCGAGGCCGGAGGGACAGCACCTGGTGCCTTTGGTGTGCTTCCTTGCTGCGGCGTCTCCAAAGGCAGCACCACAGCCATCAGACGCGTGGGGCCCGAGTCGAGTGGCGCGTTGTCTGGGAAGTCAGGCAACCTCGCTGGAACTTCAACCACTGGAAGAAGAACGGTTCCTGTCTCGGTGACCTCGGCCGACGCATCCTTGAGGCAATCTCGCGGACTTGAACACCCTTGCGATGGATCTTCGCTCTGGCCATCGTCGGCTTCTCCCTGAGACCTCTCAATCTCTGAACTCCACGCCTCTGATGCAAAGAAGGCCTGGTCGTTGCCTTCGCCGCCCGACATCCCAAGGCCGCGGACACGAGCGACGGGCAAAACAACTCGTATACGAATGGAAGCCTGATCGGCGACCGTCTGATATGGAAAATTGAGCCGTGAAATGGCTACGGTGACAGCAAACTGAAGAAAGATGACGCGGGCAACTGGAGAAACCGAGTGCGAGGTCTTTTGGGGCCCCAGAACGCTGCTATGAATTCGACGCAAGCAACAGCAACGTATAACTTCACCATGCAGGCGTAATCTAAAACATGATCGTCCTTTAGAACGCTTTTGTTGCAAACCTCGCCTGGGCGCGGTTTTGACGCACTTGCTTGACCGACGAGCCCGCGGGCTCCTGAAAGAGCAAAAACAACGCATCGCGAGGTGACGCAAGACGTGGAGCACCATGCCCACCAGCCATTAGCGAACAAACCGCAACAATGCCAACCACCTTTCGGGCGTGACTGGTTTAGGGTGCCTTCTCGTTTCAATAACCTTCTTCCCCTTCGGCGAATGTGAGGGGCATGTCCTTCCCTACATCACCCTCCCCGCGTGCCTGGAGGAGGCAGGCCGCTGGTACTTGAGACATCCTGTTACCTGCGCATGGGCGGACCTCTTCTTTACACCCCTCACGCGGACCGCGGCCCGAATGCGAGCCCTACTCGGTGCCCTTCCTTACAGTGTGCGATAGCTTCCAAGATTGCCGCAAAAGAGCTCCAATACACCTCGTGGGCTGCATGGCAAACGGGCGCACGGATGCGCTGGCCCGCGCAGCGATCAAACCCGCGGGCCCGATGCCCGACTTGGCATGCCGCCGCCAAACCGAAATCAAGACAGGACGCCGCCGCGATGGGCCCGAGAGCCAGCTCGGTGCACCGCCCGCGGGGCGAATCGCAAAAAAACAACCAACGCGCCCGACGCAATCGCGCGGGCGAGCGCGGCCCAACCGCAAGGATGCTTCAGCGCGATTGTTTATCGCGCGCGGCGTCAGCGCAAGGGTACCCCAAGGGGAGCCCGCAACGGCGCGCAACCCAGGGCCACATGAAGCGGCGGGCGCGGGTGCGCGCTTATCGCGCGACACAGACCATGCGTGAGGGCCTCAGATGGCGATGTATCGCGAGCGGCCAAGCGCGCCGAACAGGGTGGCACGCGGCGCGCGCGGCCCAGCGCGTCGGCGGAGAGAATTACTTAGAGCGCGCGGCCCAGCGGGCCGTCGGTCTCAGGGGCGACCTAGCGCTCGGCCTTGCTCAAGATGGCTTCCAAATGGGACACCTACAGCGCGCGACCACGCGCGCCGCATGGAGACGTGGCACATGTCGAACGCCTGGTCAAGCGTCGCGGGTGCTGGCCAGGAAAGTACTTCGCACGCGCGGCCATGCGCACCAAAGAGCCCAAGGAGGGTCGTAGCGCGCGCGCCAGCGCGTCGCGGCACCTTGCCGAAGGGGCTGAGCGCGCGGGGTCCAGCGCACTATATAACCACATGGTGGCTACTCATCGCGGGAGGCCCAAGCACGTGCATTCCTCAAAAGCTCCTTCGCGCACAGCCCACCACGCCCCGCGCGGAGGAGGCGGATGCGCGCGCGCGGCCAGGCGTGGCTGTGCACCTTAGGATGCGCAATGAGCCCGCGAGGCCCAGCACGTCAGGCGGCCCCATGCACGTACCCGTCGCGCGCGGCCCAGCGCGTCGGGGACACGATGGGGGAAGAGGGGCGCTCAAGGCGCTCAGCCCCCCAAGCTGCGGGGCCGAGGCGGCGCACCGCCCGCGGCCCGCGCGCAAGGATGCCTTAAGGCTGCATCGTGGCGCGCGTGGCCCATCGCGCCAAAACAAGCGCGGGGCTTAGCGCGCGCGGCCACGCTCGCGATGGAAACGTGCGCGGCGTGACTTAGCGCGCGCGGCCCAGCGCGCATGTGGGGGGCGTGTTAGGCGCACGCGGCGATGCGCGCCGGGGCGAGGTCACTGGCCCTGTGCTGAGCGCGATCAGTTCAGCGCGCCATGGGAGCGCAGGAAATCCAAAGCGCGCGCGGCTCAGCGCAAAAGCGCATGTGGATGCGCAACCAGCGCGAAGCCCCAGGCGCCGCGCGCGCGAGGTGTCACTTCAGGCGCGCGCGGCTTCGCACAGCGGATGGCACTTCGCACGCGCGGCCGCGCGCACAGGGAACACCTGGGAGGTGCGTAGCGCGCGCAGCCCAGCGCGTCGGGAGAGCTTGCGCGCACGGCCCAGCGCGCCATGGCGCCCAAGAAGAGGTGGCAGCGCGTGGTGCCTAAGCGCACATATGCCATATGGTGTCCTCCGCGCGTGGCGCAGCGCACCGCGCGGCCCTTAATCCGCGGCCGTTCGCGGCGGCCGACGCCGAGAAGTTTACTTCACGCGCGCGGCATAGCGCGTCGGGGAACCCTATGGGCCCGCAGCGCGAGCGGTCCTGCGCGTCGGGGACCCCAGTGCGGGAACGGCGCGGTGGGGGGGGCGGGGGTGTACTTAGCGCGCGCGGCTCAGCGCGCAAGAGGGGGGAGGGGACTTAGCGTGCGCGTGGCACGCGCGCCAGGGCCCCTTCAAACATATAGGTGGCGCGCGCCGTTCAGCGCGCCAGCATGCGCGCGCGGGGCGCAGCCTAGAGCGCGGGCGGAGCCCTCGCAGGGAGTCCTGACCGCGCGCAAGCGCGCACCGACGCCCTGGATGGTGCACTTAAGCGTCCACGGCCCAGCGCGCCATGGGACAGCGTGCGCGCGCATGGTGTCACTTGTCGCGCGCGGCAAGGCTGGGGGGAGGGGGTACTTAGCGCGCGCGGCCGAGCGCGCCAGTGCGGAGGAGGGGGGGTAGGGGGGTACTTAGCGCGCGCGGCCACGCGCGTCGAGGAGCACTAAGAAAAGCATGCAAAGTGCGCTCCGCAGCACGGAGGAGCGCTGTAGGGGGCACTTAGCGCGAGCGGCCCAACGCGTCGGGGGGCACTCGTGAGAGGCATTCCCTCCCTAGGATAATTGACAAACCCGAGCTAGGGGAGCCTCGCGAGCGTACGACGCACCACCGAGCGGACACTTGCCCTTACCGTTGCGGCTACATGTTCGTAACTTTGCGGCTACATTTTTTGATGTTGCTACATTTCGGATAAGGTGTTGCTACATTTTTGGGCACCGCAAATGGTACCCAAAAATGTTGAAACATGTTCGAAACATTTTCTTAACATTTTGGGCAAAATGTTTGAAAAATGTTTGAAAAATGTTTGAAAAATGTTTGTGCCGTTTTCGGACGGTTGTTGGATGTTTGCCCAAATGCTTCTGCGCGGAAAGAGCGCCCGCTCGATGTTTGTGCGGTAGGTTCAGCCGAAATCGCCAACGCGTCTCATGTATGCCCGCGCGCTTGGGCTGCGTCGGCGGATCGCAGAGTCGGATCAGCTCGACGCGCCGAGTTACTTGGCCTGGAGCGCCATGACGGCGCGGGCCGCGATGACTTCGCGCGGTCGGCGGTTCTGGCTGGCGCAGCGCGCTGCAAGCCGCCCGCGTCGCCACGCGACGGGCGACCGCGGCGGCGCTCGCGGCCGCGCGGTCGCCACCCGTTGATGCCAAGTCCTACGCAGCCCAATGCCGCCCCTGATCACGTCGAAGAGCTCCGCCTCCTTTTCATGGCCCTTGTGATTCAAGAGTTCGTCGCCGCTGCACGTCCTCTCGGGCGCTGGCTAACCGACCCCGCTACCGCATCTGACAAACCCCTCCCGCGACGACTCTACGCGGTCGCGCGACTTTTCGGGCGCGCCCCCCCTCCACGAGCACGACCGCGCTAGCGCGCCGCCTGGTCGCATCCAGCGAGGATCGGCGCCGCGCGCGGCGCGCGGCGCGCCCGATGCGACGCGCATGAGGCCGAAGCCGCCATGCCCCAACGCAAGTGGCGGAGGCGCGCTTCAGCGCTGCGTTGGGCGGTGGTGCGGATGCGCGGCGCCGCGGGCGATGGCGCTGGCACGCGCGCGATCCCATTGCGAACCAACTCGCGGACGGCGCGACGTGCAAGCAACGGACAGCGCAGTGCATCAAGCGCGCCCGATGGGCAAATTTCTCGCGGCGAAGGCGCGGAACGCGCCGACGAAGCGCCAGCGGCCCCTGTCGCGCGCTGCATGGAAACTATGCAAATCATGCGTTTAACAGCGGAACCGCTGGCGATCGCCCGCTGGATGCGACAACGGATGCGCGGCGCGCTGGCGATGGCGCGGGCGCGCGCGCCATCGGAATGGGCCGCGGCATCGCCCTTCTCTGCGCGAGTCGGCGGGCCCCGCGCGGCGAGCGCAGCGATGCGCCCCCGTTATCCTCGTAGCGGCGCGGGCAAACGGGGCGCAATGCGCCGCGATATCTCGACCTGCTGAAGCGACGCTGTCAATTGCGCGCGACGACGCATCTATCGCGCCAGCCCGCGGCGGGGCAGTCCAGACACGCCCCGCCGCCACAGCGCCGCGCGGCTGCTGCGACGTAGAAACAAAAGCGCGGCGTTGCGGGCCGCCGAATGCAGAGCGCATCGCGTCGGACAAGTCGCCAGCCATGGCCCGCGCCGAACAACGCCAACCAACGCTGAATCGGCGATGCCAAGCGGCTCGCAGATCGTAAGCCACTGCGACAGCCCTGCTTGGCCCGCGCCGCATCGCCCGCAATGGCGCGGGTAGATCACGATGGAGCGACGCGCGCCGTCGGGGCAAGGTCTACGTCGTCTGCGTCGCCCGCGGCGGCGCGCATCAAGACGCGGCGCGCATGGTGCGCCCGCGGACATCGGCCCAACGCAGTTCAAGAAACGACGCCAAAGTTGGAACGCGCAATCAACTTCAACCGCGAACGACGAGCGCGGCGCCGCCCCGCGGCCGACGCCCCCTCAACGGCCCCGCCGATGCGGACAAGCAGATCGGCACGGTCCGCCGTCGGCGCGCCCGCGCGGCGGGCGCGCGCGCGCGCCACGCGCCGACACCGATGAGAACTGCGCAAGGCTACCAGTGTGATTTTCTGGGCCACCAGGCGAAACCGCGGCACTGGCAGCAACGTGCTCCGCGCGCGCGGTCCGCTGCATGCGCCGCGCAACCGAATGCGCATGGAAATTTAAGTGTCAGCAGGCTGCGCGCCCCACTGAATCGTTAAAGTGGGCGCGCAATCGCTGCGCACAGTGGGCGCGCACTGCTCGACCGATCCTGGTCCCAATATTGAACTGCCCTATGCCCGTCAATGCGCACGCAGGGCGTTAATTACGCGCGCGAGCCATCCGACACTGCGGCGGCCAAACAACGATAATTCGTCCCAGCGTCCCGCACGTGGGGCTTCGCATGAGTTGTCTCGAGGTTCATCTTTGTCCTTGCCAGGCGGTTGCGCCGCAAGCCGACCTGGAACTAGAATGCACCGCAAATAGTTAGCGGCTCGCTGTCCATCGAAAGGAACGCGGTCAACTTGAATTGAGCCCAGCCACGCAAGACTAATGTTATAGGCGGCGGCCGTGCTTTAACTGAACGGGCTTATACCAAGTGGGAAGCAAACCGCTATAATGCCTGTCAATGGCGGTTAGCCAATGTGCCGTGACTGGGCATTGCTGACATCACCATCGTAAGACATCTCCGCCGCGACCGTCTACGTGTACGGCATGCGCAACTCGCTCCACGGTAGACATTGCAACGCCGTCGGGGCGGTGGGCCAAGCGCTCCTTCTGCTGCCGCGCCACGAACCGATTGCAGCCCGCCCAAAACATCCGAGCCACGTGCCTAGCAACAACCAGCTCGGTTTCCTGTGGGAGGAACACGGCATCGCGGCGTTCGGCTGCTGAGAACACCGAGCTGGCGGTAAACAAAGCGGCGCTTCACAGCGTTAACACGCGTGGCCGCGCGTCGGCCACCCGCGGGCGCTAGCCGCGCTCGGCCATGGCTCCCGCGACGCGCGGGCGGCTATGCCGAGAGGCGCGCCGACGGGGCTCTGAGGTACGCGCGCGCGTGTCGCGTCGGGCTCGGGACGGCAATGGCGAATGGGGCATATCGTCGCAAACCCCCGCGCGTGCTCCACAGCGGCGCCGCGCAGCGCGCCATGAACACACCAGCAAACGTCGCGAGCGAGCCGCGGCGCGCCCGACACACACAGGTGCATCATCGATATCATTCGGGGATGCGCCCTTGCAACAACGCGAGCGATGCCCTTGAGTCGCGGCCTCGCGTCTGGTTCGGCCGATACGCCGTGGCGCTCAGCGCGAAATGCCCAGCGCCCAGCGTCCGTTTCGGTCGGCGGCGGCGACGTGCCCGCGCGTGATTCGCTTGTCAGCCGACGGGCCTCGCTGGGAATGCCGCCCTGCCGCGATGGGGCATCGGCGCCGAATGGAGCCGCCACTTCAGCAGCGGAAGCGCGCGGAAGCGCACTTGACGATGAAGATCGCGGCAACGAGCGACTACGAGTGATTACATCGAGTCTCTTGAAGCCGCTAGGACCGCCAATGCTGGGCGGGGGCGGGCTCAAGCACACACCAATGCTTGAGCCGCCGATGCTTGGGCCGCAGGAGCCCGATGCGTCTACGATGAGGGGCGCGAGCCCTGGGGGCGCCAGTCCGCCCCACCAGAACCATCCGCCCCCCCGTTACTCCTCAAACCCTCACGTCAATCAGCATGCCCCCTCTTCTTTTCGTCAACGCCGTCATCTTGGTCGCCTACTCTTAGTTAACTCGTTATCATACTTGTGCTCCGCACAGCCCCCGCAGCCCCGCACCTGCCCATGCTCTGCTACACTGCCGTCGTCGCCGACGTCGTTTTAACCGCCTCCGTCCGTGGCCAGTTTGGTTCAGCCTGCGTTGGAGTATACCATTCCACGACACACCCCTCGGCGGATCACTAGCGAAGGTGCTAGGAACAATACATAGCAGGCCAACACGCGGGGATGATACATCATCCTGCTAACCTTCAGCGGGGTCGGGCGAAGCCTTCAGGGAGGACGACACGTGATAACGTATACTCTACTGCACCTCAGCGCCACGCACATTATTCAGAAACGCTGTTGGATTTTGGGGGCCCCGCTTCGGCCTGAGCGAGTTGGGACGGAACATGAAAGAGCGGAGAGACCGTGTGCAGCGGGGCAATGGGCGGCCATGCCGTCCTTGACACCTGTGTTCTCAAGGCTCCAATGCTGGTTCCATGGCCTCTCCAGGCCACCCCTTGCGCTCGTATTTCAAAAGCATGCTTGCAACAGCCTCACCCTTGCGCAGCAAAAGGGCTCGCCGAGCAGCCCTACGCTGCGCCAGCGTGGGCGTCTTCGTCCATGCGTGAAGATCGGCAACGTCAGTCTCACCGCATAGCAAAGCCCAAGCTAACAAGAAGCCCAGCGGCCTCCCTTCAGGAGAGTGCTCGGCTCCAGGGTTGGCAGTTCGGTTTTTCCTACACTTATTGCCGTGACACTCCCTCCTGCCGCACTCAGCGTAAAAAGTTCGCTTTTTCTTATACTATACTAAAGAATGGATGCCGAACTTTGCCCTGGCAACGTTCACTTCAGGGTCTGATTCTGGGTACTCTGGATCAGATATCCCACCGTCGTCGTCATCTGGGGCGGCCGCGGGCGGCGGCGGCGGCGGCGGGGGCGGCGCGGCCCCGCCGCCAAGGCCGACGTCATCTGCTGCATCAGGCTCAAGCGGCCCAACGCCTTCACCAAAGATGACATCCATCTCACGCTCTGACTCAGTGCCAGCCTCACTGACAGCAGCGCCGCCCACGGCAACGTGATCTGCTGCGGGTTCGGGCGGTAAGTCGATAGGATCACCCGCCGCGTCGGCAGCAGCAATGTCGAATCCTGGGCCCTCGACGTGGCCCCCATCGAGCTCATCGTCGACGGCCGCATCAACGCCGTCGGCCACGACGTCCTCACCGTCGAAGTCGTCTTCCTCGCTGCCGTCGTACTTCGACAGATCAATGCTCCAGCCTCTCTTCTTCCGCTTGCCAGGTGGAAGACCGCGCCGAGGCATCCACAACAAATGAATGGGGTTGACGGGCATGACGGGATCGCAATCGGCCACGTTCGGGACGAAACTCCCGAGCATACCATGCGAGTGCCGCAACTCCCAAAAGCTCACGTCCCAGCGCTTATCAAGGTTCAGCTTCGAGAAAAATTTCACTGTGCCAGATCCATCCAACAAGCTCGTGACCCTGCGGGGCCTTGAACACCATGGCGAAATCGGAGCTGCATCGCCCCGCGGGGCCTCGACATAATGGAAAAGAGACTCCCAAGGCCTCTGCCACTGCCAACCGACGTGGGCCCACAAAACAATAACCGAATCGTCGACGTCCTCCGTGAATCCGCCATCGGCGTCGACGTCCCTGCCAATGAATGCGACGACGACGTCCCCGTCCAACAGCTTCTGTTTGAAACCAGCTGAGGCCGTAGCGGATGAACGAAGAGCTGCTTTGAATTTTGCAGTGACCTTGCCCACGTGAGCTGCGCCACCCACATCGCACACACAACAGCCCAGAAACTTGCAACGGTGGTTCTTCTTCACGTCGCCCAGCTTCCTCGCAGCCTCAATGATCTCTGGTCGACGGGGGCCACCGCATATATTGTGCAACTTCGCCCATGTTTTGAACAACCTGTTTTGGATCGTCTGCCCGACGACGTTGCTGGTGCGGATGCTCAAAAGTTGTTTGCTCTTCGTCATGGCGCCTGCTGGCATCCACTCGTAGTCGTAGCAGGTCGGGTAGCCGTTCGGCATGGGCAAGTGGTCGGCCTTCTGCTCACATACGGCTCCGACCTGCAAGGAACGCGATCCCAAACCAGCATCCCGAGCATAGTTTGCCAACGAGCGCACCTCGGCAGCCCTCAACTCCTGCTGCATCTTCGTCTGGGCGAAGCAGACGGCCTTCAAATCCAACACGGCTTTCCAGGAGTCTGCTGGCGACGCGGCGCTGGCAGAAAGTGGCATCAACGACATGCTCTGGGCGACGTCCTGGCGCCCCAGGTTGGCATCGTGCATGGCAAGCGCATGCTTTGCATGGGCTTCGCGGGCGGACTTCAAGCTCTGTCTCTCGATGTCTCTCTTCCCAAGCCCGAACGGCTTCTTGCCCCCCATCCGCACTTGCTCGGTCGCCCGCTTGCCAGCATCGATGAGCACCTCCCGTTTCACTGGATCTGCCATGTCACGGCGGTAATCGGCGGAAGTGCTGCCGCCCCAGTTGACTTTGCCGCCCACGTTCTTAAACCTCTGGGATAAGAATGCGCGGTAAGGGCCGCCGCCGTGGCTCCGCCCCTTCCTGCTCGGGGCCGACCCGGCCGCCTGCGACGAACTCGCCGCGTGGGCCGAGGGCGCGGCCGCTGGCGCCGCGGCGAGCCCTCCCGCGCCCGACTCTGGCGCACCAGTCACGCGAATGTCCTGGAATGCCTGCTCGAAGGCGCGAAACCGCCTCAGCAACTCGGCGGCGCTGGCGTCCTCGATGGCTTGTCGATGAGTCTGCACGCTCGACCCCTCCAGCTGCCTGCGAATCCGACTGTGGCCGACCTCAACGGGCACAGTGTCGTGCATGAGTAGCAAGAGCGTGCACCGAAGATCAGCCAGCGCAATCGTCGACGTGACGCCACCTCTGCCCTCGCTCGTGTAATGCGAGTGGAAGGATGCGAACCAATCGTCCCACATGTGCTCCTCTGCGAGAATCTCATCAATCAAACCTGGCTCTAAGAGTAAACGAAAAGGCTTGAAAGGGCATGTTGACCTATGAGCCTGAAGCTCCAGCATGAGACACAGTGACCTGGATAGCTGCTTGAACACCTTCAGGCGCAACGAGAGAGACCTGCAATGGGCTGGGAGCACGCGCCACATGCCTCCAGAGTTCATCAGCTGCTTGATCAAACCGATCACCTGGACATCGGGGACGCCCGAAGCCAACGACAAGGCTCGATATGATCGGAGATTGAAGCCAGACCGACCAGCCAGCACAGCTCGGCCCTCCTCAGCACGTTGGCGAAGGTCCCATGCCGAGCCGCTCATCCACAACAAACTCTGCATCGCAACCCTGTGGACTTCTGCGACGCGACGAAGCACGATGGTCTCAGCAAGGAACGTGGGCCTTGATATCCAGTCCCGAACTCGCTGGCGACGACGGGCCAGCTCCTGCTGCTGGACCTTCCACTCAGGCAGGGCATCGGGCTGGCCCCCGTCGGCAGGCGCATGGGCTGCGGGGGCGGCCGCCGCGGCCTCTGCCATGCCCAGATGGGGCCCCGCGTCGCCATCCAACAGCATCGGGGGCGCAGCTGCGCCGCCTGCAGGGGCTCCATCGACGCCTCCAGCGCCGACGTCACCAACGTCTTTGAATGTGGCGCACCAGTTCACATAGGCATCCTGAAAGATACCGTGGATGCAAGCTAACCCGCCAATCCAATCCAGTGGCTTGTCGTGACCGACCCAAGAATCCCTCGGGAAAGAATTGGGCGCTGCGCCAGCCATGCACTTGACGAAAAAAAACAACGAACTTCTCCTTACAATGTTGCTCACTGTTGCAGCACCCAGCGCAATAGTGTTGAATCCACGAGCCCTTAGGGCCCGAGCGGTTTAGGACGTGTACCGCGTTCTCTAGGACGCCCGTCCCATGAAAAAAAAGGAAGCCACGTGGAGGTCGGATGGGGAGGCCGAAAAGGACGAGCAGGATGTTGGAGAGGAGGAGGAGGGGAGGATGGGAAGGATGAGGAGCAGCAGTAGAAGCAGGGGTAGGAGGGGAAGGAGGAGAACGGAGTGAAGGAGCAGGTGAAGCTCGAGTGCGAGGGGTGCAGGGGCGAAGGCCTCAGGGGCCCACGGCGGAGCCCTCTTGGGCCCATCATGCGTCTTGTCTTCCTCTTACCCCCCCTCCGCGCATCCCCCATCCCCCCCCTCCCCACCATAATCACCATCACCGCCCTCGTCCTCCCCCCCTCCTCCTCGCCACCCTGCCAAGCTCAGAGAAGAGCTAACTGGGGCCCAGGACTCCGCGAAAGCGGGTGGAGTGGACCTCAGAGCGGCCCCGCGATGGCACGCGCGAGCCCAAATGCGGGCCCGAGGGGGGTGGGGGGGTGGGGGGGGGGGGGGGTGGGGGGGGGGGGGGGGGGGGGGGGGGGGGGGGGGGGGGGGGGGGGGCGAGGTAGGCCCTAGAGCGAATCGACGCCCGATCGCCCCTCCACGCTGGCGCGAAAATGCGCGCGGTTGCCCTTCTCACACCTTCGCTTCTGACAAGCCCTCGGGGCACCGAGATTGCCTGACGGCCAGAGCGTGGCCCGAGATTTGCCCAAACCCGCTGTCTTCGCGCCCGAGGGCGCGCATGCGGCACCGAGGCGCATCCAAGAACACCGCCCTCTCAAAGAGCCTCTGGAGCGCCCACCGACCAACGGCAGAACCCCAGGAAGGCCAACGGGGGTGCCCAGAACGGCCCACGGACATTCCAACTGCCCGAAACGGCTCCAATATCGCTCCAGTACGCTTCCGATTGGCAGCGCGCAACCACTCGACCGCGGGCGCCGCGGGAAGCGAACGCCGCACCACGGTTGCCTGCAATGTGCGCCCGCGCTAGTTGGTTAGGGTGTCGTTGCGGAGATACGCGAAGCGTTTTCGATTTTTCTGGACGACCATTTGCCATTGCACAGGGATTCAACAATTTTGCGCCGCAATCTCTGTGAACGTTCTTTCCCAGTGAAAAACAAATCAAGCCACGCCTGTCTCTCCTCGAGGTTACTCTCTGGCGGCGCACCTGGAATGTATTCGAGGCGGTCCCTCAGAAGCTTTCTCAACACCCTGCGAAACCGCGCCATGCCGAAACCGCCTGACATTGAATGAGATACATCAATGATGCAAAATACCCTGTGGGAGGCAGGCGGGCGAACGGGACTCCTTCTTACCCTTCGGGCAGGGGGATACCAGCGCCCGACCCCCTCCTGTTGCCCTGGGCGGGGGGAGGGCGCGAGCGGCCAAAGGGTCCTTATCCGCTTATTGGGCAAGCCTTTTTGACGACCCCACGGGGATCGCAACCCTCGAGGGGGTGGAACGACATGAGCTCCCACCTCCACGCGCTGACTGATGGCACCAGTTGTGGCTCCAAGATGGCCGCCCCCTGGACTCCCAAGAAACCCCCCATATGACATGAAGAGCGCAACACTAAGCTCCAATACGGCCCCGCGACGGCCTCCAAGACAACCCCAAGGGGGTCCAAAGACTGACCACGCGGCCTCCAAGATGCCCGAGGTCGCTTCCAGCACCCCTCGCCAAGGCAGAAGGGAGTGCGGCTATCGTTGGATGGGCTGGCGGGGGCACGCGAGGCGTGAATGATTGCGTTGATGTCACGACTACTAAATTCCATCACCTTGTTATGGATATTTGACATCCTGTGCACGACGCATTTCAAATGCAAGAAATCAAACCTATTATACAAAGGCGTGCAAGAGAGGCCTCGCTCCGCGGCCGCGCACGATGCATCGCCATCTGTGGTCACAAGGCGTTGGCGTCGATCAAAGCAGCCAGGTACATCACCCAACTTCGGCCTGGTTTTTTTTTCAAGACACTGCATGTAACATTATGGATGCTTACTGGTCATGCTCTGGTGCCACGCTGGCAGAGAGAAGCGAAACGTCTTGATATACCCATCAACCTCGACCATGAGACTGAACACCCAAAACGTTGCCAAAATCTTTTGCGGCGAAACTTCACGGAGTGATGCCGCGAGCCTCTCCTCTTCAGGCGAAAGTGTGGAGCTCGCCATCAACACTGCATTGAACTCGACGTCGGAGACGCGCAACCTCATGGGCGTTTCGTCATATTGGCACGATTCCGTAAAGAGAAGCAGCTTTCCTCCAGCTTTGCGCGTGTTCGAAATAACCTGCTGCATCCCATTGATCGCGTCTGAATGCAGAATCGACAAGCCTGCCATGGCAAGACACCGTCGCCGTGACGACAACATGAACGGCGTCGTGCCCAACATGTCGGCCTCTACCTTCAAGCTGGCATGCGAACGTTTCGTGGACAAGTAATGGTCGGCAATCCGCATGGAGACTGCATCCGTAAGCTCTCGCGCGTCGCACTGGCGGACCCGTCCCCATAACACAGACACCGCACGTAAAGAAGCACCTGCGATGACAATATCTTCAACTGGGCCGATGTCATCAGGGTCCTCAGCGGCAGCGTCTGGCAACGGAAGGGGAACTATCGCCAGGTCCGCCGCAGCGTGCGGGGCACCATCTGGACCGACAGCTGGCCCGCCAGCACCATCGTCAGGCGCCAAGCAACTGTCATCGCCCAAGCTCTCTTTACCGAGCCTGAGGAATGCCTTGGGCGTCAAATGTCGCGGCGGCACATCGACGCCAGCTCGGCCCTCGTCGCCAGCGCCAGCCTCCACGTCGTCAAGACACTCACTGGCAATGGCAGCCTCGAGGCCAGCCCAGTGGCCCACAACGGGAGGCTCCACGTCGCCAGCGCCAGCCTCCTCATCAAGACACTCACTGGCAATGGCAGCCTGCAAGCCAGCCGAAGGCTCAACAACGGGAGGCTCACCGTCGCCAGTGCCAGCCTCCTCGTCACTACATTGATCCGAAAGCAACTTCCCAAGGTGAGCCCACGGCATCTGAACAATGCCGTTGAGGGAAGAGGGCGAGGTGCGAGCTTGGTTTGAGCCAAGATGGTTACGGATGCTGCCTTGTGGACCCCACGACCCCCTCATCATGCCAGCGCCCCGAAGACATTCTCGGACAGAGCCCGCGCACCTGTTGCATCTAGGGCCCAGGGCGTCACTGGTTAACTGCTGAATCTTCGCGCCCCCAGGCAAGCTTGACACCTTCGCGCCCGACGCCCTGCGGATTTCCCCCGAGGAACCTCGAGACAGCAGACTTATCCAACTGAAAATACTCTTCCGCCTCACGTTCTTGTTGCTCGTCGCTGTCATCGTCGTCGTAGTCGTCGTGCTCCTCCACTCCCGCTTCCTCCTCCTCCTCAACACCACCGCCATTTGGGCTCATGCTTAGGTTTCGCCATTGAAGTTGCTCTCGCATCAGAAGGCTCCGCCCGCGGGAACTCATCGTCCACTCGGAGTCCGAGAAACCTCTCCAAAACGTGTCGAACCTTCGGCTCCATTTGGGGACAACACGAACATAAACATTTCAGGAACGTGCGGTTTAAACATTTTAGATACATTATCGCTACATTATGATATTTGCTTGAAACGGCAGTTTACCTAGCCATTTTTGTCTCAACACGTCCGAGCGATGCCAAGGGTGAGGTCACCACCCCGTCTTGGGGGCCCCCGGATCAATCCCCGCCTCGGACCTTGCCACAAGGGCTCCCGGTGGAGTTCGGTCAATGGGGGGCCACGAGCCGCGTGCACGGGCGTGCCGACCCTGCGGCGAGAGACAAAAAGCGGCGTGCAGATCGGCGTGGCGGCGCGAGCACCCCCAATGGGGCGCACAAGGACATACTGGTCCTAGAGTTTCTCCTGGGAGGAGCGCGTCCGACCCGACCAAATAGAATACCAACATTGTAGTGCGTCGTTTCCCGAGCGGTGTGGCCAGAAGGCGCCCGCCGCGACGCATATGCTCCAAGATTTCTCGGTGCGCGCGTCGCCCCTGGGAGGGCGACGCACACACACACACACACACACACACACACACACACACAGTTTTAGTACGTGAGGGCAACGCCGACACGAGCATGCTCGCGTCGGCAGTCCCACCCCTTCCCACTCACACCCCACGTGGCTTCCTGGGAAATCTTGCACTCGCGGGGGGGGGGCTTTGTGGGCCCTGGAAACGGCAGGGCAATTTTTTTCACCGTTTCCGAAAGAATATCCCTTGAACATGGAAACGGCAAAAAAACTGCGACCGGAAACGGCAAAAAAACTGCTCCAGGATTGGACCCGGAGCCGGAACCGGTCAAAAAACGGCGACGGAACCGGTAAAAAACGGCGTCGGAACCGGCAAAAAACGGCAAAACGGAACCTGTAACAAAAACGGCCCTGTCGTTTCCAGGGCCCACAAGGGCCCACCTCTTCCCATTCGCACCCCACATGGCTTCCTGGGAAATCTTACACTCGCGGGCGGGGGGGGTGATGACGATCACGACCCGACGCCACAAATCAGGACGGGATGCGCTCGGCAGTGGGCAGCGTTCTGGGGCCCTCGCCAATGCCTCGGGGCCGTCGAAAACGAGCTCGGGACGGAAAGCCCGCCCTGGGGATCGGGTCGGGACCTTCGGGGATGGACAGACCCCCCTTTAGCAAAACGTGGTTTAGTGAAAACGACCCGAGGCCCAAACCTGGCGTGCGCAAGCCTGGAAAAGAACGGCCACGGCACCCTCTCGAGAACCAAAAACGGACAATTCACTAATCGACGTGTCACTGTTAGGGGTTCTGTCCACCTCCGAGACCTCTGGGGACCGCGTGTGGAACAAATCAAGACATCGCAGGTCTGGGACACCTGGGGGGTCTTCGCATGGACCACGAGGGCGTGCCAGAAGGCTGGTTGGAGGGCCACTGAGCCGGATCGAGCCGACGACAGCTTCCCTGGGAAGGCGGTCCGCCTCGAAGGCGGGAGACGACAAGGCGAACGACTCCGCCGAGCGATTTCTCGGCGGCGAGCCTGGGCGGGCAATGAGAAGGAGTAGGCCTTCTCAGAAGGCTCGGAAAGAGAAGGTTTCTACGCCTTCTCCGAGGGCACCGAAAACTTCTCAGAAGGATGGAGGGCTTCCGAGAAGGCCTGCTCCTACTCAGTTCCCCCTGGGCGCGCCGCTGACTCGAAAGCCCACAACATGACCCACCAGTTTTTTTGCATCACGCACTCTGCTTCGGGGGAAACCAAGGCCATACATCCAACTTCAACGAGCGGCCCTGGGAAGATCCGAACCCCTTCCCTGGGGTGTTTCTCGTCCCAGATCTACGCTTGATTCGGATTTGCAGGAACCACTTCGAACCCCCAGCCTTGAATATTTGGAACAGGCTGGAGTTCGCAGCGTTTCCTGCCATTTCGAATCAGATACTCCTTGGTGTCGAGTGCGACCCAACGCACTGGATAGGTCATCGCCGCATCGCATACCCACAAGGCGCCTCGCGAACATGCACGAAAATGAGGTTTCGCCAATGCGTTTACTACAGACGAACTGTACAATGACGAAATTGAATTGAAAACCGAATTCTATACCGACCCGAACTGAAACTATAGAAACTGCGCTTAAAAACTGCCATCCACACCGAACCCCCCCTACTAAATCATAAACCAAAATCTGCTCTCGAAGCCGGGTTCCCGTGCAACTTAGAAGCTGCCTGCCCACCGAAGCGGGCTCGAACCTCCGCGAACTCTCCCGAATCCTGGGGGACAACCCGTTCCCAGTCATCCCCTCGTAGCCAGGTCGTGCTCTGAGACGAGCGCGTGCCCGGGCTGCCCGGGCCGTGCTCGAGGAGAGCGACGCAGGAAACGCTGCTCCCGGACTGGCGGCCCACGGATCGGATGCATCACGATGGCGGAGGTCTGTGGACGAGAAGCCTGACCTTCCAGATTGCTAAGACAGAGCCCTCCAAACCCAGAGCGCTGCCAGGAACACGCGTGGATGGCAGTGCGCGTCCTGGGGCTGTCTCTCTGGGGGAGGCGGCGGGGCGGAGGATGCGGAAGGGAGGAAAGAATAGGCGGATGGGGGAAGGATTTGGACGCCCGAAATGGGTACGGAAAAAAAGGGTGCAATGCCCAACAACAAATGTTGTCCCAAACCAACGGCGGGCGCGGTTGGGCAGGCGGCCTTCTGTCTCAAATGGACACAGGCCGCGGCGGCGCGGACAGCGAGTCCTGTTCGAAATGAACAGGGAATGCTGTTGGGCACTGTACCCATTCTTTCCGTACCCATGTCGTTCGTGCCGGGAGTAGGGGGATGGAGGAGGGAGGGAGGCGGAGGGGGAGGAGGGCTCTGAGGTGCCCCCTGCCCCCCGTCAGCATACCCAGCGCAATCGCTCGCCCGCGCATGGACGCGTGGAGCGCATGGCGCTGTCCGTGTTCCCCCCCGCCAAAGATGACCCCAAGACCGGACGGAGCCAGATCTACAGCCGAGGTCGATTGGAGAAGACACGCGAGAGGGCACGAGACTTACGTCGGGCCTGTCCCCCTACAGGAGGATTTTGGAAGAAACAAAAAATAAAAAGTAACCCAAACATACCCCCAAAATGGCCTAAACATACTCAAACAATCATCCCCGGACTACTCTTTGACAGTTTTCAAATATCTCTCCTGTTGAAGGACAGGCCCGACTTAACACAAGACCCGTCCGAGGGCCACACTGCCACAGGAGTGAAGAAGGCACGGGCCACGAAGCACGGGACCCAAGGGCACCCATCCGCTTCCTCCTCCTCCGCCTCCTCCTCCTCCGCCTCCTTCCTCCTCCGCCTCCCTCCGCCTCCTCCTCCTTCCTCCTCCCCTCCTCCCTCCCCCTCCTTCCTCCTCCCTCCCCCTCCTTCTTCCTCTTCCTCCTCCTTCCTCCTCCTCCTCCCTCCCACTCCTTCTTCCTCCTCCTCCGTCCTCCTCCTCCGCCTCCTCCTCCTCCTCCTTCTCCAGCCTCCTTCTCCTCCTCCTCCTCCTCCTCCTTCCTCCTCCCTCCCCCTCCTCCTTCCTCCTCCTCCTTCTCCTCCTCCTCCTCCTCCTCCTCCTCCTCCTCCTCCCTCCTCCTTCCTCCTCCCTCCCCCTCCTCCTTCCTCCTCCTCCTCCTCCTTCCTCCTCGCGGAAGAATGGAGTATATTGGCAGCAGATTTGGTCAGATATCAGTCACTCTTTGCGAATGGCACCGACGGGCAGCAGCAGAGAATGTGCGTGACACGCATACAGAAGCAGCTTGAAGTTCTGCGAGGTTTGCCGCGGAAGGACGCCTTCAGCAAGAATGTGACTGAGGCCAGCAGCGAGATGTACTTCGACATGGCATCTGACATATGGCAGTTAGACGAGGGGCAGCTATCGAATCTGGTGGCCCAGACAGAGAAGCACTTGGCGGTGGCGTCGTCCAGATCAATGACTACGGCTCGGAAGAACTTTGCGACCTGGGCGAAAAAGGCATGGCAGACCAAGGCGGGCATCCTGCACAGGCATGTCAAACCCAAGGAGGCGCCCCGCTATGAGATGGCCATCAGAGAAGACTTCGTCACAGCTGACCCCACCATTATCATGAACACGAAGGCGCGCAAGTGGGAGACCATCTGGACGGACCCTGTGGACAGTCGTGCTGACATCATTGAGCAGTTGGAGCGCACCAAGCGACGGGCGTGGGAAGAGGATCTGGACCCCATCGACATGGACATGCTCAATGGTGCGCTCCGAGTCACATCGGCATCCAAAGCGAAAGGTCTGGATCAGCTTGGCCCCACGGATATTGACAGACTTCCTGGCCAGGCTAAGCAAGAGTTGTTGGAAATATTGCAGAGGAGCGAAAGTACTTTGACATGGCCAAGACAGCTATCAGCCACCAAGTGCGCGATGGTGGCCAAGCCTGGGCCAGTTGCTGGTGATCGAGTATTGGGTATGTTACCGCTTCCAGTTAAGTTATGGTCGAGAGCGCGAGGCGGAGTATGTGCCTTGTGGAGTGCTGGGCTATCAGACCACTGGGACACGGCGATCAAGGGAAGCTCGGCGCTCAGGGCAGGACTCCTTCGGTCGATCTTGGACGAGACTGGCATCGAGATCGGCGCCTCGGCCATGACATTGTTGTTGGATATAGAAAAGTTCTACGACACGGTCTCGCTGGTCATCTTGTTGCAGATAGCGGGCACGGCAGGATTCCCAGCGGTGGCTGTCGGATTGGAAGCGGTGATCTTTCTTGGACCCAGATACTTGCAGGAGCGATCTATCATCAGCGAGGCCATCTGGCCTACCAGATCACTGGTGGCAGGATCCGCAAGAGGAGTAACTTTAGCGAAGCTTTTTCTTCATCCAGTGCTTGAGTTGGCGCATCGAAGACACCCAGCAGCAGGATTGTGGACGTTCGTGGACGACACGGTAGCAAGATGCGAGGGCAGTTCACAGACGGTGGCAGAGCAGCTGGTGGAGGTGTCGACGGATATATGCACTGGATCGGTGGAACAACGTATGACCATATCGGATAAGACCACGGTGATTGGCTCTGACTCGAAGGAGGCTCGGAAGACAGCGAAGCGATTACGACTACGTGGCATACCTGCTAAGGCCAGCGGCGTGGCGACGGACCTGGGCCTGGACACTGCCGGAGGACGCAAGCGGGTAGCAGCGAAGAGTAAACTGCGGCAGCTCAAGGCGCGGAAGAGGTTCGCGAAGATCGTGAAGCTGAGAAGGATTGCGGCGCTGAAGCATGAGTCCAAGGGCCTCTACAACGTGGGCGCACTGCCGCAGGCGATCTATGGGCAGCAGACGTACGGCATGTCCAAGCAGGCGATCACCGTGTTGAGAAGGCAGGCGGGCAAAGTGGCAGGAGGCAGTGCAGGAGGTCGATGTCTGACGACCACGCTGGGCATGGAGCTGGGCCTGAGAGACCCCGCTGTTGATCTCAGACTGGGTGTGGTACGAGAGTGGATAGGCCTTTGGCAGAAGTTTCCCCACATCCATCGACGAGTTGCGAAAGCATGGCCGTTCATCAAGGCGCGTCTCCACAGATATGGCGACAAGAGATGGCGAGCTGTACGGGGCCCCACAGGAGCTTTGATGGCAACGCTCATGGATGCTGGATGGACACCTTCGACAGCCACTCAATGGCATCGACCTGGACCTGATGAGTTGGAGATGTGGGAGCTGCCGACCTCCGAGGACGGCAAGTTCGTGGCCACGGGCTGCTTCCAGGAGCTCCTGGACGACCTGGAGGGCGACCTGCGCAGGGACCTCTGGACGGAGGCTGCCAAGCACGAGTTTGGCGACAACTTGCAGGAGGGCGGAGACCTGTGGCCCATAGTCATGGAGCAGCGGAGGTTCGAGCGCAAGGGGATGCTAGATCAGCTGGCGCTCAACGTGACGGTGGTCGCTGGCGGCCAGTGGCCGAGAGTCCGCTGCAGGGAAAAAGGATATGAAGTAACAGTCGATTGCCCGAGATGTAAGCAAGCCCCTGAGAGCTTAAAACATAGAATATGGGAATGCTCCAGGAACACTGATCACAGCGATTATAGCAAAACTGAGCCTTTGGTAGCTGCGGCATTAGCACAAGCAGAAGCTGAGCCAGCTTTATGGCTCCGTGGTCTTCCCCCTACTCGCCTCACTCACCCCCTCTTTGACGATGGGCGGCTGGAGGGGCGGGAGCTTAGGCTGGGCGGGGAGGGGGACTTTGAGGCCTCTCGAGGAAGCGACGGGGTTTTAAAGGTTTACGGCGACGGCTCGGGGGGGCGATTTTCGGACGACCCCAGACGAAGGAGATGCGGTTCTTCTATCTGCTCCCTGAGGTGGTCCCAGGGCGAATGGATAGTCCAGGCGGCGTTGGCCCGTCCCCTGCTCGGAGCCCGCCAAACCGTCCCGCGCTCCGAGATCCAGGCGTTTTGTATGGCTTTAGAAGAGATCCCTGGGCCGTTCGTTTTTGTTACTGACCACTTGTCGGTCGCAAAGAAGTGGCGTTTTAAAATGGAGAACCCGAGCCCGACAGGGGCTAATGAAGATTTGTGGACCAGGCCCCGTGTGTCCTGGAGTTCCAGGCCAGATACCGCCACTGTCGAAGTGCAGTGGACACCCTCTCACACGGATGAATCCCCTGAGCTGCTGATTACCGAGCTGCAGTTAGAGACTGCGGTTGGAAATGCGGTAGCTGATATATGGGCGGGAGAGGGGGCGGAGCTGGCTTGGGAGTTCGGTTTGGTTGGGGATAACCCGCAGACGGATAGAATTGATGCCATTGCCAGTTTAGTGCGTCTGCGCGCGAGACGAGCGTTGGCCGACTCAGCGAGTGCAGAAGTCCAAGCGAAGAATGGAAGGCAGGAGGTCGCGAAGCGACCCCCAGCTAACAAGTGTGCGGTAGCAGTTCGAGAGTCGGCCCACCGCCTTGAGAAGTCGGGCACGGGTTGGAGGTGTGCTGTGTGTGATCAGGTGGTGCCAGGCTCTCGACTGCTCAAGTTTGCGGCCACCCCTTGTGCAGGCAGGGCCATCCCAGAGGGACTGAGGCCCCCAGATGTGATTCAGGCCCCCAGAAGGTTCGTTGCGGGGGCGTTCGAGTTTCACGAAACTCATGCCATGTTTTATGTGGACAAGTGGTTCATGCATGCCTGCAGCAAATGTGGTCGCTTCGCTACGGTAGATGGTAGACATATCAGTAAGCGATGTGAGGGACTGACCCCCAAGGGGACCGAGAACCTCACTCGAATTCGCAAGGGTATATACCCCAGGAGGGAGGGGCCCCCCCAAGCCGTTGTTGAGGCAATGGCGGCGCGTGATCGTGAGAGGGTGGTGTCGTCTCACGTCGGTCGTTCGAGCGTGGGTGAAGCGCCAGGGGGCCCCTCCCCCGCCCCTCCCCCACCGCCCGTCCCAGCGGAGGCAAGGTCCGCCGCCCAGGAGAGAGCTGCGCCACGTCGGATTGCACAGGCTCTACGACGGGAGCCGCCCCTTTTATCTTTTGAGGCGGTGGGAGGAGGAGGCGATTCAGACAGTTCAGACTAACCCCATATGAGGGTAAACTTGTGTGGTTTGTTGGACAGAGGTCCGCTCTCATAGCATTCCCATAGCTCCTCCTTCCTCCTCCTTCCTCCTCCTCCTCCGCCTCCGCCGTGCCAAAGTCGCGGGCACCCGGGCGCGGGTTAGGTCGAGCGGGAGGCGAGGGTTAGGTCGAGCGGGAGGCGAGGGTTAGGTCGAGCGGGAGGCGAGGCGTTGGACGAAAATGCTCAGAATATGCCCACAAATACTCAACAAAAAAAAGTCCCCGGACTATTTTTGGACTATTCCTGAATCTTCCCCCTGTGGAGGGACAGGTCCGACTCAAGGCAAGGGGGGCAGGGGGGAGGAGGAAGAGGGAAACCGACAAGCGCGCAGCGCGGTCGACGCGAGGGCGCCGGGACGAGGAGAGCCCAGGCAGAGTGCGCCCCCCCCCCCCAGGGGGCTGCCAGCGCGTAGCCCGTCGTCGGGGAGTGGTTCTCCACCAGCGTGTGGCAGATGCAGTAATAGCTCAGGCCTGAACTGGGGGCCAGAAGAGCCCAGAATCGAATCGATAAATCGGGTCGGCGATCGAAATGAGTCGGATCGGCAGAAATCGGCAGCCGAGTGGGGAAAAGTCGAAGCGGCGAAAATCGGCAGGCTAGTAGGCCACCCTTGAGGAATCGGCATCAAGCTCGGAATCCGCGGTCAAATCGAATCGGAATCGGAGGCCATCGAGAAATCGAATCGATCGAATCGAATCGATCGAATCGAATCGATTGAGTCGAATCGAATCGAAGTCGAAGTCGAAGCAAAATCGAATCGCATCCGAGGAAGCGGAACGAGCCCCGCGAGGGTGGCCGGGGCCGAGAATGCGCCTGTGGCGTCCTTGGTGGGGGGCGGCCCCGCGCGGGGCCAAAAGGCGGAGGCGCCGGGGCGCCGGCAGCAGATTCCATCAGTACAGGGGGGAGGCTGCTTAGAAGGAGGCTGCTTATTGAAAGGCGCCAGCACTACATCTCCAACTGAGGCCAGCGCCCTCTGAGAAGCAGAGGTGCTTCTAAGACTCCCCCCTCCCCCCCTCCCCTTCTGCGCACGGCTGATGCGCATCCACCTCGACCGAGAGAAGAGCGAGCGCGGCCGCTGCGAGCGTTGGGAGACAAAACGGCACCGATACCCCTCTTCCCCAGACCTCTCCCGGGGTGCGTCCTGACCAGGATTTCGAAGCGAATCCGGCGGTGGCGACGAGGGCCTCCCAGGAGGCAGAAAAAGAGGAAACTGGGGGGAGGGGTGGAGTTACGTAGGTCGAGCATGTCCTCCTACAGGCGGACTTTGGGCGAAAACTGAAAGTAGCCGAAACATGCCAAACAATGGTCAAAAACAACAGAAACATCGCCCCCAGACGACTATTTTGTTTGTTCCCCCAATTCTGGAAGATTCCTCCTGTCGTGGGACAGGTCCGACTTGGTACGGGTACCCTTTCCTCCCCGGAGAGCGCAACCGGCACTGCGCCATCCACGAAGCAAGATCATCCGCAAGGCAAGGCGGGCGGGCGCAAGCTGGCACCGAGGTCGGGCACTGCCGCGCGGTGCCCTCGGCTCCCAGACCACCGTGCGGCGGCCACGGGCTGGAGCTCGGGCGGGCTCGGCGCGGCGGGCGCCCCCCCTTTCTTCTCCTCCTCGTCCTCCTCCTCCTCCTCCTGCTCCTCCTCCTCCTCCAACTCGTCCTCGTCCTCCTCCTCCTCCTCCTCCTCCTCTCTTTCCTCCTCCTCCTCCTCCTCCTCCTCCTCCTCCTCCACTTTTTCCTCCTGTTCCTCCTGATCCTCTTCCTCCTCTTCCTGCTCCTATTCCTCCTGAATCCTTTCCCTCCACCTCATCCTTCCCCTCCTCCTGTCGCTGTCGCTGTCGCCCTCGGAGTTCGGTGCGAACGCGGCCACCCATCTCCTCCTCCTGCTCCTTCTCCTCCTCCTCCTCCTACTCCTCTTCCTCCTCTTCCTCCGCCTCTCCTCCTCCTCCTCCTCCTCCTCCTCCTCCTCTTCCTCCTCCTTCTCCTCCCTCCTCCTCCCCTCCTCTCCTCCTCCTCCCTCTTTTCCCTCCTCCTCCTCCTCCTCCTCTTTCTCTTCTCCTTCTCCTCCGCCTCCTCCTCCTCCTCCTCCTCCTCCTCCTCCTCATCATCATCATCATCATCATCATCATCATCATCATCATCATATCATATCATATCGCATCGTATCATATCATATCATATCATATCATATCTTATCACATCACATCACATCGCATCATGCCATATCTTATCTTATCATATCATAGCATAGCATAGCATATCATATCATCATCATCATCATCATCATCATCATCATCATCATCATCATCATCATCATCATCATCATCATCATCATCATCATCATCATCATCATCGTCGTTTCCCCCCTCCTCCTCATAATCATCCTTTCCCTCCTCATCCTCTTCCTCCTCCTCCGCCACCTCTTCCTCCTCCTCCTCCTCCTGTCACTGTCGCCCTCGGATCTGGAGTTCGGTGCGAACGCGGCCACCCTCCTCCGCCTCCTCCTCCTCCTCCTCCTCCTCCTCTTCCTCCTCCTCCTCCTCCTGCTGCTCCTCCTCCTCCTCTCAAGCACATGTGGCTCGAGGGCTTCCGTTGTGGTTCTGGCTACATCGCAAGTCCTCAGTCGCTCCTCGATGCCCCACCGTGACGCTCGAGTGGCACCCGCGACGCCCGGTCCAGCGAGTCCAGGCTAGGCGGGTTGGCTAAATCGTCGGGGATCCTCTGACCCGGGTCAATCCAGACCCGGGTCAGCAGGAAACCAAAAACTGCAATGCAAGAAAAAAAACTGCAACGCAGGTCCTCGCAAACCCGGGTCAGCCAATACGCACGGCCGCCTCGCGGCCACGAGCGGCTCCCTAACCCGGGTCAGCCAGAGGGGGCCTTCGCAGGATCCTGCAGGATCCGGCGCCCTGGCTGACCCCCGTTTGCACTGACCCCCGTCTCGAGGCTCCCCAAATCGAGGAAGACAGGGTGAACCGGTATGAGTCGGTGGCTGCTCTGCTGGATTGTCCTCGTCGCGCTGGACGGCGAAGGTGACATGCTCGGCAACCACGCGATCGTCGTCACGGACTCGCGCTACTGCAGTTGCGGAGGCTGCCTCATCGACGACTGGTACATTGGGTGCATGGCGAGCGAAGCAATGTGATGCATCGAGGTGGAGTTTTGCTGCAAGTCGCTCTGCTACGTCTGCTGCACAATCCGCAACGACTCGCCCACTGTGTACTTCGCGTCGCAGGCCCAGGTTTGAAACGAGGAAAAGTCTCACATCTTCGGCAGGTGCGGCATCTTCTGCTGTCCTGGGGCCTTTGTTGTGCTTAGGCTTCGACCCCATCTTCCACCGTGCTGGGTTCGGCGCGTGCGAGAAGGGCGACATGGTCTATACAACACGCGGTCCCAACGGAGCGTCGTCACTTACCATGCTGGTATGGGCTAGCGTGCCAGGCATCGAGCCGCAGGCCCAGGCGGGCTGCAGGGTTGGCGCGTCCGCCATCCCGTGCGGAGTATCGCCATGCATGTTTGGCACGTGCGGCTTCATCTGCTATCCTAGAACCTTATGGTTGCTGTCCTTGGGCCCTGACCTCATCTCCTATTGTGCTGGTATCGGCGCGTGCGAGAAGGGCGAGCAGTTTTTTCAGCACGCGGTCCCATCGGAGCATTTTCACTTTTCATGCTGGAATGGGCTAGCGTACCCGTTTCCGAACTTGTTGAGAACTCAGCATCATGTTGGTTCAAGCCGTTCCGCCAGTGCCCTCATTGGCGGCCTTCCTCATCTCGACTTGCTCGGGCGGGTCATGGCTTGGACTCATCTGTTGGCGTGGGTTCAGTTGCAAGTTCAGTGTGCTTATGTCAAATGGTCAGTTCCCCGCTCGTCGTGCAGAGTGTCACGATGAACATGCAGGTATGGGACTTCAGCTGTCGGCGGTACTTCCTTTGGCGGGCTGGGGCGAGGTGGTTTGTGGGCGAGGCAAGCTCATTGCCTTGTGATCAACAGTGTCGCCGTGTTGGCACAGCTAGGGCCTCATAGAGTCAAACTCACTTCTGCTTAGCCACTGGCTGTCATTGTGGAGTCGTTTCGGCAAATTGGTTCCAAACCTTTTTTTCAGGTTGGCCAAGCTTGGTAATTTCTGTGGAATTGCTAGTGATGTCGTGTACGGGTCGGCTTCTGCGACTGGCAATATTCATCAGCTCCCTGCTGGCTCCTGCCCTTCGTCTTGTGGTTCGTCTGCGTCAATTTCGAGCTCAGGGGGCGGCTTGTGTATCATTTGGGCTACGCCTTGGCAGAATCCCTAGAATCCGCCTCCTCCTCCTCCTCCTCCTCCTCCCTCCCCTTTTCCTCCTCCTCCTTCACCCCCTCCTCCTCCGTCTCCTCCTCAACGTGTTTCTCGTCCTCCGCCTCTTCCTCCTCCCCCCCCTCCTGTCACTGTCGATGTCGCCCTCGGAATTCGGTGCGACCGCGGACATCCTCCTCCTCCTCCTCCTCCTCCTCCTGCTCCTCCTCCTGTCGCTGTCGCCCTCGAAGTTCGGTGCGAACGCGGCCACCCTGGTCCTCCTCCTCTTCATCCTCCTCCTACTCCTCATCATCCTCCTCAAACTCCTCCTCCCCCTCCTCCTCTTCCTCCTCCTCCTCCTCTTGTTTCTCCTCCTCCTCCTCCTCCTGTTCCCTCTCCTCATCCTCCTCATCATGTGTGTCCTCATCCTCCTATCCTTTTCCTCCTCCTCATCATCATCCTCCTGCCGCTGTCGCTGTCACCCTCGGAGTTCGACGCGAACAAGGTCACCTTCCCCCTCCTCCTCGTCCTCCTCTCTTCCTCCTCCTCCTCCTCCTCCTCCTCCTCCTCCTCCTGTCCTCCTCCTCCTGTCCTCTCCTCCTCCTGTTCTCCCTCCTCCTCCTCCTCCTCCTCCTCCTCATGTTCTTTCCTCCTCTCTCTCCTCCTCCTCCTCCTCTCCTCCTCCTCCTCCTCCTCCTCCTCCTCCTCCTCCTCAGCATCATCATGAGCATCAGCAACAGCATCAGCATCATCATCATCATCATCATCAGCAGCAGCAGCAGCAGCAGCAGCATCATCATCATCATCATCATCATCATCATCATCATCATCATCATCACCATCACCATCAACATCAACACCATCACCATCATCAGCATCAGCAGCATCATCATCACCACTACCACCACCATCATCCATTCATCATCATCATCATCATCATCATCACCATCACCATCATCATCATCATCATCATCCATCATCATCATCATCATCATCATCATCATCATCATGCATCATCATCATCATCATCATCAGCATCCTCATCCTCACCATCCTCATTATCAGCATCATCATCATCCACCACCACCATCATCATCATCATCATCATCATCGTCATCGTCATCGTCATCTCATCATCATCATCATCACCACCACCATCAACAAAACATCACCATCATAGTCTTCGTCATCGTCATGTCATCATCATCATCATCATCATCATCATCATCATCATCATCATCATCATCATCATCATCATCATCACCATCATCATCATCATCATCATCATCATGATCATCATCATCATCATCATCAGCATCCTCATCCTCATCCTCATCCTCATTATCAGCATCACCATCATCATCATCACCACCACCACCATCATCATCATCATCATCATCATCATCGTCATCGTCATCGTCATCGTCATCATCATCATCATCACCACCACCATCAACATAACATCACCATCATAGTCTTCGTCATCGTCATCGTCATCATCATCATCATCATCATCATCATCATCAGCATCAGCATCAGCATCAGCATCATCAGCATCAGCATCAGCATCAGCATCAGCATCAGCATCATCATCATCATCATCATCATCACCATCATCATCATCATCATCATCATCATCATCATCATCATCATCATCATCATCATCATCAGCATCCTCATCCTCATCCTCATCCTCATTATCAGCATCACCATCATCATCATCACCACCACCACCATCATCATCATCATCATCATCATCATCATCATCGTCATCGTCATCGTCATCGTCATCATCATCATCACCACCACCATCAACATAACATCACCATCATAGTCTTCGTCATCGTCATCGTCATCATCATCATCATCATCATCATCATCAGCATCAGCATCAGCATCAGCATCATCAGCATCAGCATCAGCATCAGCATCAGCATCAGCATCATCATCATCATCATCATCATCATCATCATCATCTGCTCCTCCTCCACCTCCATCTCCTCCTGTCAATGTCGCTCTCGGAGTTCGGTGCGATCGCGGCCACCCTCCTCCTCCTCCTCCTCCTCCTGATCCTCCTATTGTTCCCTCTCCTCCTCCTCCTGCTCCTCCTCCTCCTCTTTTCCCTCCTCCTCCTCCTCCTCTTTTTCCTCCTCCTATCCTGTCGCTGTCGCTGTCGCTATCTGAGTTCGGTGCGAACGCGGCCACCCTTCTCCTCCTCCTCCTCCTCCTCCTTCTCTTCCTCCTCCTCCTCCTCCTCCTCGTCCTCCTCCTCCTGTTCCGCACCCGACCACTAGCCTGCACCCCTCAGCGAGTTGCGTCGCTTCCGGCACTGCTGGAGTCGTCGCGCGCATCTCGGCCTCCTTTGACCACGCGGTGGCGGAAGCAGTCTGTGGCGTGCAGACTGCGAAGGATCCAGAGAAGGAGGGAGGACACATGTCAGAGTCTCGAAGGAGGGAGACGATCATAGTATGATCGCCTCCCTCCTTCGAGACTCATACAAATCTGGATCGGAGCAAACATTCACACGGCGGCGGCTCTACCGAAGAGGTAGTTGTGGTGGCCGACACCGTGCCTGATGCTCTGCCCGAGAGTGCGACCGACACACTGGCGCCGAAATGCGTCCGCCGAACGCGCCCCAATGTGATAGATGTCCTGGGTTCGGCACCGATCTGATCTTGCCGTTCGGTTAGAATGTTGGTCACACCGCGTCTCCGATCCTGACTTCGAGCACGTTTGAGGTCACAGGTCACATATCTTCTTCGGCCACGGGCCCGTCGTGGCTCATGCCGAAGGGGGACTGCACACAAGTGTGCGTTCGACGGGAGCTGGCGACAGTCAAACTGATCCAACCTGCTGGGACATCATTGCGATGCTGACTTACGTCAAACGTGCGCTTGACTCACCCACCCATGCCGCCTGGCGCCCCCATGTGATCAAAAAAGCTGGTTTCGGCTAAGACACCCACACGAGTCGCTCTTAGACTGGCCCCGGAGTGCAGGCAACATGAGCGGTGTGCTGCCCGCGCCGAGGCGAGAGCGCCATTTAGACGGACCTTCGGCCACAGTGCGGAAGATCAGCCGAACCAGCAGGGGCTGGGCGCCATGAGATCATGGGGCCGCCGCGACGGAGTGGCTCCTGAAGCGCGCAATAGGCGAAGAAACCACATACACATAAACTTTTGGCGCTCCGCGCGGAGATCTTGGATGCGCGCTGGACTCCACTGCCTGGCGCGCGGAGCGCGCCAGGGGCGGCGCCGGAGGCGCCGCATGGGGGCCCCAGTGCCGATCCGAGAAGTCCGCGCGGACCTCCGAGCTTTTTATGTTTATGCCATTCTTCGTCCCCTCATGAAATGATGAGGCCGCTGCGACGGAGGGGCTCCTGAAGCGCACAAGCAGACGGCCGCTGCGCGGCAGAAGCGGCGTCGACGGTGCGCCGACGGCAAGGGGGGAAACCCCAACAAGAGCGCCCAGAAGATGAGACGAGGGGCGCTCGCTTCTCGCAGGGGGGCCCAGGGGCCGCGGGGGGGGGCCTTGCAGTATCTGGTTGACGCCCAAGCCCATGCAGACGCGGCAATAGGCGTCGTAGCACTGCCACTTGGACTGCAGCTGCCGGAAGAGCTGGCGGCGGGGATGGGGCGATGATGCTGCTGTTGATGATGATAATGATGATGATGCTGCTGCTGATGATGATAATGCTGATGATGATGAGAATGATGAGAATGATGAGAATGATGAGAATGATGAGAATGATGATGCTGCTGCTGCTGCTGATGATGATGATGATGATGATGATAGTGATAGTGATAATGATGATAATGATGATGATGATGATGATGCTGATGATGATGATGACGATGATGTTGATGATGATGATGATTTGTTTTGCACCTGCGGCCAACGACCAAAACTTGCCTCGCCCTTTGTGGGCCCCGGAAACGGCATGGCCGTTTTTTCACCGTTCCCCAAAAAATGTCCCTTGAAAATGGAAGCGGCAAAAAAACGGCGACCGGAAACGGCAAAAAAACGGCTCCAGGATTGGAACCGAAGCCGGAACAGGTCAAAAAACGGCGACGGAACCGGTAAAAAAACGGAGTCGGAACCGGCGAAAAAACGGCAAACCGGAACCGGCAAAAAACAGCCCTGTCGTTTCCAGGGCCCACTAAGGCCTCGTCCCGCGCCCCGCCCGAAGACGACGGCGCCGCCGCCGAGGAGCGCGGCACCCTCGGCGGTGGGGCCTGTCCCGGGGGAACGGCCACTGCTGCTCCTCCGGCCACCTCGGCTCAGGGAAAATGGGTCTGGGCCTTTGTGGGCCCCGGAAACGGCAGGGCCGTTTTTTCACCGTTTCCCCAAAAATGCCCCTTGAAAATGGAAACGGTAAAAAAACGGCGACCGGAAACGGCAAAAAAACAGCGCGCTCCAGGATTGGAACCAGAGCCGGAAACGGTCAAAAAGCGGCGACTGAACCGGGAACAAAAACCGGCGTCGGAACCGGCAAAAAAACGGCAAACCGGAACCGGTAAAAAAACGGCCCTGTCGTTTCCAGGGCCCACTTAGGGTCTGGGCCTGTGGGGCGGCGGCGGGGTAGGCGTCGGTTGCATCGACGTGCCCGTGGAGGTGAAAATCGTGGTCTTTGGCGTCCATCGGGTCCGGGCGCGTCGAGCTGGCCTGGGCCGTGAATGTGTGTGGATGAGCTGGAGGTCGGCGGTGGGAGCCGTGGGGCAGCGATACTGCAGCGCGTGCTGGATCGCGGGCCAGCTCGTCCCGACCGCGAACGGGTTCATCGTGAACCAGTCGGAGACCTCCAGGCTCGGGCACACGAGCTCCATGTGCATTAGGCCAGCGCCAGAAATGTCGAAGGTGTAGGGCGGCATCACGAAGGCCTGGGCGGGGTACTCGGGAGGCATGTACCGCCGGTCGCCGATCGACCTGGAGAACTGGTTGCGAGACGTGCCCCAGACGAAGCAGCCCCAATCGATCAGCTTCACGTGCCGGGTGCTGCCATCTTCGAGCGCGACAGCATTGTCCAGCTTCATGTCGTGGTGGATCGGGTTGAGCATGCTCAGGAAGGCGAGCGCCTCCAGATCTGGCGGGCCGCGAGAATCGGCGGAGCTGCCGGTGCCCAGGCTGCTGCGGATCGTCTCCAGACTCTTGCCGCAGGGCTCCAGGACCAAGTACACCGCGCTGTTCGTGCCCTTGTACTTGGACGCGTGCTCCTCGTAGCACGTGCAGATGTGACTCGCGCCCTGGGGGTAAACATGTTGGTGGTACAGGAGTGCCCGGGCAAGCATGCACTCGTCCGCGTTCTCCTTCAGCTCGGGCTGCTCCTTCGGCGTCGCCGTGTTCCAAGTGAGGTACTGCTTTCGCCCACTGGACCGCGAGTAGAAGATCTTCACAGCCACGCGCCTCTGGAGCCGTGGGTCGTATGCGTCCCAGACGTCGCCAAAATTCCCTGGACCGAGGTGCGAAGTATCGGTGAAATCTGTCTCTGCACTGGGAAAACTCACGCCGGGCGGCACTGAATCTTGAGTGCCGTTGAGCCGGTCAAGCAAGTTCATCTCCTCGTGTCTGTCAAGCCTGCTCATCACCTCGCGGCTCTCGACGGAACGCTCCAACACGAAACTGCCTCCAAGCAGGTGGCCAGCCTGCGCCAACTCACCCATCACGACATCGGCAAATGCCTGGCCACTTGCCTCCACAAGCGATGACTCGTTAGCCGGCACTGCCTCGGGCTGTGTCGTCCGTTGATTCGTCTGTTACGCGCATGGTCTCCGCAACACTAATCACCAAGAGCAATGCTAATTCTAAACGTAGCGATGCGAACCTGTTAGCAATCCGTACCGCCATGGGCAGAACACGGACAACGCTATAACGCTCCGATGTTCTTCGAAGGCCACGATACCTCAAACGTTGAGCACTTGAGCCAAAATGGCTACGGATAGTGATGATGGTGATGCTGATGATGATGATGATGCCGATGACGATGATGATGCTGATGTTTATGAAATTGATGACGATGCTGATGATGATGATGATGATGTTGCTGATGATGAGTATGGTGATGGTGGTGGTAGTGGTGATGGTGTTGATGATGGTGATGGTGATGGTGATGGTGATGGTGATGATGGTGCTGGTGATGGTGATGGTGATGGTGATGGTGATGGTGATGGTGATGGTGATGATGATGATGATGATGATGATGATGATGATGATGATGATGATGCGGACGAGGATGACGAGGATGACGATGCTGATGATGATGCTGATGGTGATGCTTTCCCAACTCGCCGCTCTGCGCGAAAACTTGTGCGCGCTATCGCAGCCGCAAAGATGCGCCAGCTAGTGTCAAATAGTCACCGCCATCGCGGCCGCATGGGTTGTGCAACACAAGTTGCGGGTAGGAGGGTGGGATTTTTGCGCGAGCAGTGGAACTGACGACTTCATGTTCTGCGAGGAGGTAACACCATACAGCTTACACCACACAGTTTGCACCACATACCATACACATAGCTTACACCACATACCTTACACAAGATAGCTTGGACATCCACCGTGCAATGCATTGCTGTCTGGGGTCCACGCTGGCGAATCGGTTCATGTCTGCGATCATTCGGCGTCAGAGCACGTCGGATCACTTCCAAGACCACAGTGGCCGAATGGGCTCACAAGACAACGGAGACCAAGGTTTCCGGACATACCATGACTGATACTTTCGGGGGCGGCCAAGAGGGGGGTGTCCAAGAGGGGGGGGGGAAAATCATGACCGGCGGCATGTGCGCGGCCCAGCGGGGGGGCCAGGGACGTAACGAAATAAGAAGAGGCGCCACGAGATCAGGGGAAATATCATGGCCCCCGCCATGATATCCCCCCCCCTACTCATCACCCCCCTCTTTCCGCCCCCGATACCTGCGCCATCGTAGCTGTGGTGCGCCCGTGAAATCTGGTCCCGTGTGGCCCGCAGCAAGCCCGCGCTGGGCCTCTGCTTGGGCCGCGCTCGGGGGGCTCTCCCACACCGGCCCAGGGCGCTGTGCTCCTTCTGAAGCGGGGCTGTGACGCCTCTCTGAGACTCGGCGGCGAGCGAGGGGGGGAAGTGAGAAGGAGGCCTTCTCAGGAGGCTCGGAAGTGCCCCAGACTTCTGAGAGATGCTCTGAGCCTTCCCCGAAGACAAACAAGACCTCCTCAGAAGCCGCGAGGGCTTCTGTGAAGTCCCGCCGCCTCCTGAGAGAACGGCCCTCTCCTTCTCGCTTCCCCTGCCCGCTCGCCGCCGAGAGACTCCTCCCCCTTGGGTGGGCTCGGCCCCGCAGGGCGCCCGCTGACGGACGCTCGCCGCTTTGGCCGCCGCCGCTCGTCGTCGTCCTCGTCGAGGGCGCTCGCCGCCGCCGCCGCCGCCGGTCCTCGCCGCCGCCGCCCGACGGGGTCGCCTCCGGTCGCCCGACGGGGCTCGCTTCCGAGGCCACGGAGAGAACCTGGCCCGCTCGGCCGCCGAGCAAGCTGTATGCGAGGCGGGGATTCATCCATGGCCGCCGCCTGGGAACCGACGTCCTGGGTGCCCCAGCGGGCGGCGGATATGGGCAAATTCTGGCCCCCAGGAGGCCCGAACATGACCGCCCGCCCAGGTCCCAGAGAACAAAAATGGATTCGGGAGACGAAGGACGCCAGAAACATACAAACTCGGAGGTCCGCGCGGATTTCTCGGATCCACGCTGGACCCCCCTGGCGGCGCCTCCGGCGCCGCCCCTGGCGCGCTCCGCGCGCCAGGGAGGGTGGGGTCCAGCGCCAATCCGAGAAATCCGCGCGGACCTGCGAGCTTTATGTTTCTGGCAGTCTGCGTTCCCCAATTGATCCTCCGGGCGGTGGTCCTGTACAAATTCCCGCCTCGGGCTGTAGCCCGGTCTCGTCGGGCTGCTTTGAAGGGGCCCCAGGACACACAAATAGATACACACGAATATAGAGAGATTCCCCCACATGTTCACACATCTTCTGGGTGTTTTTGTCTTCCCCCCCACTTCCCACAGTTTCCCATATCTTCCTGGGAATCGGCGAGTCACTGTGTCTGTGTCTGTGTGTGTTGTTCCCCTCCCGATGCCTGCTGGGCCCGCACGCCGGGCGGGCGCGGAGGGGCACCGCCGGGGTCCGCCCCCTGCGATCCGCCGTCCGCCCCCGCCGGGATACAGTCGGGGCGTTGACCTTAAGGAACCCTAAATGAGGAACGAGGCCCCTACTCCAGATTTCGTAATAAAGGGAGGGGGGTCTCATTTCGGGGGGGGGTCTCTTCCAGGCTATCTTGGAGGGCCTGGGGGGGTCTGGGGACGATGTTTTGGAGGGTTCTCCCACGGGGGGGGGGTCTGAAATGGCTTGTCTTGGAGGGTCCAGACCCCCTCCCTTTTATTACGAGATCTGAACTATTTTCCATAAGTTGAACTTCGGTCTCGCATCGAAAACCTAAGGAACATCCAAGGCAAGCTGCGAAACAACTCAGGAGCACGGAGCCCCTCACCAACGAAAAGGGTTCCTTCTTCAGGGCCCCGACTGTACATTACGCCTGGAGGGGGGGGGGTCCACCCGTGACGGCTCTCGCTCCACACAGAGGAGGCCCGTCCCCAAGAATCCTTCCACAAGAAACTCAACCCTGAGAGACCCCAGCACGTCCACTGATTTTCGGCGTGGGAGCGTCACGCTCTCCATCGCAAGACCCTCGAAACCCAGGGCACCCTGGAGGCGAGCGGGGAGTCTCTCGGCACGGGCCTGCACTGTGTTGGGCGGGGGCGTAAGCGGCCCGATCAGTGGGTTGCTGCGCAGCCGCCTACCTCTGCCTGGCCGCATGGCATTCGTGTCACTGCGGACGCCTTCCCGTCGGCGCCCACCTCGGGAGCCTCTCACGAGCGGCGAGCGTACGCTGCGTTGGGTGATGAGCGTGGGGCGCCCCCCCCCCCGCCGACGGGGGCCAACGTCAGAATGTCCGCGCGACACGACGGGGGGCAGATTCGCCCCGTCGGCGCACCGCGGGCGGGGTGGGGTTTTGGGGGGGAGGGCTTCTTTTGACGCGGCAACGTCTGCCCGCGACGGGGGTCGGGTTGGGGCTGTCGGCGGGGGTTGCGCCCCCCCTCCCGAAGCTGATTACCAAACGCAGAATCCGCCACGGTGCCGCTGGGCACGGAGCGGGCGTGTCCTCACATCCTTTGCCCCGTCATCCGAGCCTCAACCACCACTCCTGAGAAGGTCCTTACGGAGCTCGGACCCCTTCTCAAATCTCTCGGGGCTTGTCGCGTCTTCTCGGAGCTCGTCGCGTAACTTTTTCGGGCCCAGGAGGGCCCCAAGACGGGCCAAGAAGGCTCCGAAAGGCCCCCAAGACAACCCGTGATGGCCCCGAGTGACCGAGCGAACGCTTCAGACGCTCAAGATGGGCCAAGAGGCGTCCAAGACGCCCCAAGAGGCCTCCCAAGAGGCCTCCCAAGAGGCCTCCCAAGAGGCCAAAATCATTGTTTGTTCCAATGCTCTCGCCGTTTCGGCTTTCCGACGCTCCAGGACGACCCACGAGGCCCCCAACATCGACCCAGGACTGCCCCAGAGGCCCCCACGGCCCAAGAGGGCCCCAGGACGGCCCAAGAGGCGCCCGAGACGGACCGGAAGGGTGTCCAGCGAGCACCCCCCCTCGCGGGGTCCAGAGGGGCCCAGGGGCTCTCCCAAGTTGGCAGCCCAGGCACGGTGGCGGGACGGGCCGAAGGCCATTAGCTGATTGTCCATGTCCACGCCCTCGCGGTCTGGAATCCCAGGCGCGATCTCGCGGATGCACGGTCGCATGGATGCGTCTCACGCGTGGCATCAGCGAAGAGATGAGCCCGCCGCGACCCCTGATGAGGGGAACGGTTCCTGAGCGGCGTTGCTTAGAACTGCTTGGCATTGCATTATTTTGCTTTGCATCGGATTGCATTGTTTGGCACTGCGTTGCATTGCTTGGAGCTGCTTGGCATTGCTTAACAATGCTTGGCATTGTTTACCATTGTTTGGCAGTGTTTTGCTTTGCTTGGCGTTGCTTGGCATTGCTTAGCATCGCCTGGCATTTCTTGGCGCTGCTTGGCGTTGCGTGGCACTATTTAGCGGTGCTTTGCATTGCTTGGCGTTGCTTGCGTTGCTTGGCGTTGCTTGGCATTGCTTGGCGTTGCTTCGCACGGCTTGGCATTGCTTGGTAGTGTTTGACATTGCTTGGCATTACTTGGCATTGCTTGGCATTGCTTGGCATTGCTTGGCATTGCTTGGCGTTGCCTGGCGTTGCCTGGCATTGCTTAGCGTTGCTGTGCACTGTTTTGATCTGCTTGGCGTTGATTGGCCTTGCTTGACGTTGCCTGGCGTTGCCTGGCATTCCTGGGAAACAAGACCAACAGCCAAAACGGGGAGCCCGAGGAACCCGGGGAACCCGAAAAAACCCCTGGGAACGGGCACAATGAGAATACGAGGCACTGGGAGCGAGGAACCCGAGGAACCCGGGGAACCCGATGGGAACGGGCAGCGCAAGCCCCTGAGGCGCCAGGAGCGGGGAACCCGAGGGATTGGGAATGAAAAACAGCCCGCCACTGGTAATGTGCATGCTCCAGTTTCGGACATTCTCCGCCCACGAGATCTCCAGAGGCCTCTTGAGGCCCAAACTGAGCGGCAAACCTTTCTTAGAGGAAGCATGCGGCATCAGCATTAACTCTCCGAGGTCCACGCGGATTTCTTGGATCGGCGCTGGACCCTTCGGTGCTGGACCCCCCTCCCTGGGGCGCGGAGCGTGCCAGGGTTAGCGCTGGAGGCGCCACCAGGGGGGGCCCAGCGCCGACGCGAGAGATCCGCGCTGAGTTCCGAACGTTTGTTATCATGCAGCCTTTACCCTTCGAGAAACCGAATTGCAAGCCTCGATCCTCGTCGTCGTCGAGGTGGTAATAGTGGTAATCGTCGTCGTCCCCCTTACTGAGGGGCAACGTAAGGAGAGACCAGCTCAAAGCGATGAACATCGAGCTAAATCGGCGATACATCGCCGACTGGTCAGCAGAAAACTCCCGATGGCAAGCCCGCACGCTCCTTGGCAGGGTGGGCTATCGGGCCTCTATCGGCGATCAATGGGCGAATGGGGGTCGAGACATCCCCCCCTGAGTAGAAGAAAAAAACACTGCATAAACAGAAACTTTTGGTGCTCCGCGCGAATTTCTTGGATCTGCGCCGGACCACCTCCCTGGCGCGCGGAGGCCACCGGGGGCGGCGCCGGGGGGCCCCAGGCGCCGATCCCAGAACTCCGCGCGGAGCCCCACCAAGAGTTGTCTGTGTGATGCGGTTTTTCTTCCTCGACTGAGCCTTCCCCCCCTAGACTCGGGTCGGGCGAAAGGGGGGGATAGCAAAGGGGGGGGGTGAGAATCAGCTCACGTAGCTGACTTTCCCAGCGCCTCCCCGGCGCCGGGAGGAGCCCATGTATCGAAGAATGGGCCCCTCCGTGGGGCCGAAACCAGCTGCATGCAGCAAACTTCGTAGCCCCCCCTTTCCCAATCCCCCCCTTTCGCCCGGCCCGGTAGACGTTGCAGCCTGACGCTGGTGGTCGTCGTCGGCGTCGCGCCCCCCCCGCGAGCCCGGCTGTGCGCGCGGGGGGCCCCGCCGCCTGCACGTGCCGCTCGGGCTGGGCTCCCCGGTAGCCGCTGAGGAGGTCCTGCCGGAGCGGCCGCGATGGGGCGCACAGAGACATACTGATACAATGTCCTCCTCGGAGGCGCGCGTCCTCCTTCTCCCCCCCCCTCTGCTCCCCCTCCTCCTGCTCTCCTCCGCCTCCTTCTCCTCCTCTTGCTCCTCCACCACATCCTTCTCCCCCGTTCTCCTCCCTCATCCACCTCCCCCACCCTTCCTCCACCTCCCACTCATTCTCCTCTCCCTGCCCCCCCCCCCGTTTTCATCGTCGTCGTTCTCAGGGTCGGCGGCACCGGCCGTAAGGCGTTCGCAATACTATGTCCTCCTCGGAGGCGCGCTTCCGACCCGAACGTATAGTATACCCATCTTGTAGTAGATCGTTCCCCGGGCGGTGTGGCCAGAAAGCGCCCGCCACGACGCATCTGCTACAAGATTTCTCGGTGCGCGCGGCGCCCCTGGGGGGGCGACGAACATATAGCATAAGCATGTTGGGGTGACGCCGACGCGACGGCGACGGCGGGTGGACGACGGAGGCTCTCCTCGAGCAGGGCCCGACCGTCCCAACGTTCATACAGGCCTAACACGTGTTCATGGAGCCCCAAAAATATTATAAGAACGAGAGCGCTCTTCTTAGAACAGGAGCCCGACATGTTAAAGCAAGGCGGCCTCAGTCAGAAGTGTTCTGAAAACATTTCGTGCAGACCACAGAGGGTACTTAGAACATTTTTTGGTGAGCCTATGGGCGAGCCAGGACGCTTCGCCACTGCTTGATCTCCAAGAAAAGGAACAACTGCCTGAACTTAATGGAACGAACAAAGAAAGCCGCACCCTGAAGGTGCATCGGCAACTAATGAAAATGACAGAAGCACGCGTTGAGAAAATCGTGCTCCACATCGGGCAGCGCCGCCGATGCATCGGCGATGTGGCGCGATCCTCCGACCCCCCTGCTCTGACCCTCCATCTGGGAGGCTGGATTTCTAGAGGAATAAAGCATTGCTTAGGCATGTAGACGTTCGCAGGTCCGCGTGGATGTCTTGGATCGGCGCTGACCCCGTGGCAGCGCCTCCGGCGCCGCCCCTGGCGCGCTCCGCGCACCAGGGAGGGGTCCAGCGTCGATCCGAGAGGTCAACGCCGACCTCCCAAGGTGATGCTTTGGTCTTCGAGGATTGGGCTTTCCGAACGCTTTCGTTGAAGATAGCTCGCGCGTCGTAAACAGAAGGAAGACGGGATGTCTTTGGCACCTTTGGGCCTCCAAGGGCCCTGGCTGGGCCCCTGGACCGCCCGGACATCAGCGCGTGATGGAACACTGGCCTTGGGGAAAAGTCGGAAAAGGCTACAGTCGGGGCCTTGACCTAGGGAGCCCAAAATAAGGAACGAGGCCCCTGTTTTCCACAAGTTAAACTTCGATTTCCGATCGAAAACATAAGGAAAGCCTGAGGCAAGCTGCAAAACACTTAAGGAACGCGGAGCCCCTCCCCAACGATAAGGGTTCCTTCTTCAGGGCCCCGACCGTAGGGCTTCCAGGGACCGCGCAAGGAAAACACACACACAAAACATCGCATGCCTGGGGCGATTTTCTGGCCCCCAGATGACATCTGGCAGCTGCGCCTCGCTGAGGGCCTTCACGGCGGCGCCAGATGGTCGACTCACGGCCCGAAAGCCACGTCTCCCGGACGACGACAAACCACAGGTGAGGACGCCGACGCCGACGCCGACGCCGACGACGACGTCGACGACGGCGACAGCGACGGCGACGGCGACGACGGAGACGGCGACTGCGACGACGACGACGGCGACGACGTTGACGGCGACAACGCTGACGGCGACGACAACGACGGCGACAGACGAGGACTGTCACGGGCGCTGGGGAACCCGAAGGTACCGATCCCGACCAGGCCCATCCTGGGCCCAGGATGGGTGTGCACGCCCTGCGGGCAACGCCGGGAGGGCTTACACGGACCGATGTCTACCTAAACTTAGGTCGGGCACGTCCTCCTACAGGCGGATCTTGGAAGAACCATGCAAAGTAGTAAACAGATATCTGCGCACCAGGATGTATTGCACGCCCCTAATCTACTACAACCCCACACATCTACTGCACCAAATCTATTGCATCACCCCCTTTCAGCTGGACCCCCAGACATGCGACATCCTGATTTGTCCAATACGGGGTCCCTGGAAGTCCCGACCCCTTCCCCGGGATCGGTCTTTCATCCGGAGTCGTTTTTGTTGACGGTCTCGAGGCCCCGCGAGGCCCCCCCGAGGCCGAAAATGGCCAAAAACCTTCCGTACTGATTTGTTTCCTGAAGGGACCCCAGGACACACAAATCAATACACACAAATAAAATGATTCCACATACTTTCCAATATTTTCTGGGTTTTTGTCTTCCCCCCACTTCCCATATTTTCCCATATTTTCTTGGGGATCGACGATTAATTGTGTCTGTGTGTTTTTTCCCTCCTGATTTACGACGCGATCATGTCTGGGCCCCCTCTTGGGTCAACCCGATGGGCGGCGATGCGAGGTCCTCCCCGCCGGGGGGCAGGTCAACATCAACTGTTGGCACTCCGCGCGGATTTCTGTGAAGGGGACCTGGGACACACAAATAAACACACACAAATAAAAAGATTCCCCATATTTTATCATTAATTCTGGGTTTTTGTCTTCCCCCCCACTTCCCATATTTTCCTGTATTTTCCTGGGAATCGACGATTAATTGTGCTTGTGTGCTTCTTTCCCTTCTGATTCTTGGATCTGCGCGGGACCCCTCTCCCTGGCGCGCGGAGCGCGCCAGGGGCGGCGCCGGAGGCGCCGCCGAAGGGGGCCCCCGCGCGGCTCCAAGGAATCCGTGCGGAGCGCAAAAAAAAAGTTCAATGCTTGTGCCGTTCTCTCTCCTTCGATGTCAGGCATGCGATCACGTCTGGGAGCGCCGTTTCGCCCAGGCTGGGCGGCGAGGTCCTCCCCGCCGAGGGGCAGGTCGACCTCCTCCGGGAGCAGCATCTGGTCCTCCGGCCGCGCATGCGCTGGGGCGCGGGCGGCAAGCGCAGACGGCCCTCCCGCGGGCCTGGCCCCTCTTCGGTCCTTTTCCTCCTTCTCCCCCTCCTCCTCCTCCTCCTCCTCCTCCTCCTCCTCCTCCTCCTCCTCCTCCTCCTCCTCCTCGTCCTCGTCCTCCTCCTCCTCCTCCTCCTCCTCCTCCTCCTCGACGATCCTCCACGATCCTCTTCCCGTCCTCCTCCTCCTCCTCCTCCTCGATCCTCCTCCTTCTCCTCGATCCTCCTCCTCCTCAATCCTCCTCCTCGATCTCCTCCTCCTCCCCAACATTCCTCCACGATCCTCCTCCCGTCCTCTTGCTCCTCCTCCTCCTGCTCTTCTTCTTCCTCCTCCTCCTCCTCCTCGATCCTTCTCCTCCTTCACGATCCTCCTCCTCCTCGATCCTTCTCCTCCTCCTCCTCCTCGATCCTCCTCCTCCTTCTCCTTCACAATCTCGCTCTCGCCCTTCCTTTCCCATCCTCCTCCTCTCTCCTTCTCGATCCCCCCCATCCACATCCTCCTCATCCTACTCTTCATCTAAAACAGGTTTGCGTTTCTGCCCTCTTCGTCCTCTTCTTCTCCTCGGCCCCGTCGACGTCCACTCCCCCCTTGCCCTCATCTCCCTACTCGAGAGCAGGGCGGAGGAGGATGCGGCATGATGACGATTTATTGAGCACATCGTGAACGGGATCGGTCAAGTGTAGGGGCAAGAATGGCAAGTGGCGCTGCGGTATAAACGGCAATCACTCGGAGGGAGGACTTCACAACACCTCAGGAGGAAGACTGAGGAAGACGTGGAGCACATGTTTTCATGCGGCGAGTGGGGGGCCATCCATCTGGCGAGGCTGCTACATTATCCAGGAAACAGGAAGCAAGGAACGCTGCGGGGCAAAGGGTCGTGGCCGCGCCCGTGCGTAGGAAAGCGCCGGGATCGCCCACCTTGTGAAACAAACTGAGATTGCCAACGTTTTTGGGGCGCCTGGTCAATCGGACACCTTCAGGGTTCCAAAATAGCAATCTGGCAATGTAGCACTGATCGACTTTGTCTCACAATCGGTCTTTCCGGCCCACCACTTCTGCACCCCTCAAGGACTGCCACACACTTCCGGAATTGGTTTTCGGCTGTGTGCGGTGCGTGTTGGAGCCACTCTACCCAAGATTTGGTTTACAAGCTGCCGTCTGCCACCTCGTAATGTCTCCTCGGTGAATTATCAATCGTTCGCATCATTGTATGCTCTTGAATTTGCAAGCACTGCTCTTTGTCAGGTGTCAGAATCCAGTATCCACTGCCGAAAAAACTGACTGGCTACATTATGGCTGTGCTTGCTATCTTGCACCCTGACGCAGTCTCATCATCTTGGGGACGCCGCGTCCCAAACATGTAAGTGTTAGCAAAAGCATGGCCGCTCGAAACAAGCTCAACTGATGTACAGATAAGAAAGCCATCACATAACAGCTCCTCCCAAAAAGGGGACATCACAAAATTGGAAAACACGTGATGGGGAGGGCCGAACTTCCCGTGGCCTACGGGGAACGCGGCGGGGGGAGGAGGAGGAGGAGGAGGAGGAGGAGGAGGAGGAGGAGGAGGAGGAGGAGGAGGAGCGGACAACATGATAGCTCGGCGGTGTGCCCCCGACGGCGCAGCCGTGAGCTCTCCTGGGCGCCACGGGGCTCCCGAGCTCCGATCCACGAGGAACGACAACGGCGTGGGGGGCATCACTCCCTCCAGTCCCCCTCCTCGGCGCCTCTGGCCCGGACACCTCCTTCCTCGGATCTACCCCCAACGTCTCGGCGGAGACGAGAGAGTATGACGAAGGTTTCGATATGATCGAAACCTGATGTACGCTCGTCGGCAAGTGCTCCTAGGATGCAACCCCTCGTCTCGAGGCGCTGCTGCCTGAACCACGAGAGCAATATTCCGAGGAGCCTCAACCCGCTCTAGCAATACTTGACCCGGGGTGCAGGCAATTTTGCACTGGTTGACTGTTGCACGCGAGCTCGACGGAGACCGTGGCACTCAAGCTTGCAAAGATTTGCCGAGGCAGACTTGGCAGCTTCCAACCTAGTCGATCCTGTCGCCGATTCGTTAATGAGTTCTTGCACCTCCATCCGATTCCTTAATGAGTTCTTGATGAAAGAGCCTTGGACGCCCACTTCGAAGCTTTTCGAGCGCGGCGCGGCGAACGAAAGCGACCAAGGATGGCCGAGGAGGCAAGGATGCAAGGGAACCCTCGGGAAGGTTGCCCATCCTTACTGTGCGGGTGAACTGTATGAGCGTGGCTTAATTATTCAGGCTAAGACGTCCTCACGATTTGTTCGATCAGGCCACGGCGCGCAGGTGACGCCGCCTGCGTGCTGGGCGAGGGCGCCGCCTGTCTGGACTTCGTGCCGTGGCATGGCCCAGACCACTAGTTACCACTTTGTGGTTGGCCTGAAAAGCAGACTGGGACGCTTCGACATTGATCGATCATTCTCCTCCTCCTCCTCCTCCTCCTCCTCTTCCTCCTCCTCCACCTCCTCCTCCTCCCCATCCTCCCCCTCCCCCCCTCCTCCACCTCCTCCCCCTCCTCTTCCTCTTCCACCTCCTCCTCCTCCTCCTCCTCCTCCTCCTCCGCCTCCGCCTCCGCCTCCGCCTCCGCCTCCGCCTCCGCCTCCGCCTCCGCCTCTGCCTCCTCCTCCGCCTCCGCCTCCGCCTCCGTCTCCGCCTCCGCCTCCGCCTCCGCCTCCGCCTCCTCCTCCTCCTCCTCCGCCTCCGCCTCCGCCTCCGCCTCCGCCTCCGCCTCCGCCTCCGCCTCCGCCCGCCTCGCCTCCGCCTCCGCCGCCCTCCTCCTCCTCATCATCATCCCCCTCCTCCCCCTCCTCCTCCTCCCCCTCTACTTCTTTCTTTCAGGAAAGGACCAATGGAGAGAACGGAGGTCCCCCCTGGACCAAATCCGCTCAAGCTCGGCCCCCCAGACCCCATCCAGGGGACAATCCTGACAGTTTCTTTGTTGGGGGGGGGCGGATCTAGATGTGGCGACGAGAAGCCTCCTGGGGCCTGATGAGGACGAACAATGCAAGGGAGGGCCGACATTGTCTCGACGGGGCCTCCTCCGATTCCCAGACCCCGGGCCGCGGACCCGCCCAGCCGGGCCGCGAGGCCTCCCTTCCCCAACCTCCCACCCCCCCTCCTGGCGGAGCGCGCCTCTTGCCAAGCCCCTCGTCGCAAGCACACGCACACACGCACGCACGCACGCACGCACGCACGCACGCACGCACGCACGCACGCACGCACGCACGCACGCACACAACCACACACACACACTTTTGCGTCGGCGGTTGGGCCGAGGGACAGCGCTGGCGGATAGGCATTGGTAGGGCATACGCACGCGAATGTAGCTGGATGCACGGGGGGAGAGGAGGAGGCGCCCGGCGGTGGCGGGAGGGATACGGAAGCGGGCCCGCTCAGAGCAGACACACCCACACCCACACCCACACCCACACCCACACCCACACCCACACCCACACCCACACACACACACACACACCGCATGCACGCACGCACGCATGCACACGCACACGCACACGCACACGCACAGGCACAGGCACAGGCACTCACGCATTCACGCACAGCCCGCGGCTGAGTGTACGTAAGCCGCGAGAGGGACGCAACGAGCGATGCACGCCTCGAGCTAATCTCCTTGTGAAGAGGTGCGGAGTCAGCGGCACGAGACGTGCGTCTCGTCGCACACGCACGCGCAAACCTCCCTCCGTTACCCGATTCGACTCGTGTGATAAGGCTTCGGACTGCGCACGGAACACCCCCAGAGAGCCCCGGCTGGCCTCAACAGGCCTCCCGAGGGGGTCTGAACTGGTGGTGCTCCCAGCAAATCTGTCAAAAAGAGTGGGGGAAAGAGGCCGAATCCACATGGTGCAACCTGCCACGCCGGATCCGTCTCTGCCTCTGCCGGCCCCGGGCCTGACATTGGGCACCCAAAAGGCCGAACCAGAAGGTCAAAACCTTGCCAGACCCAGGACCTCGCACCCCCTGCCTGCTCGCACCCCCTGCATGCTCGCCCTGACATTGGGCACCCAAAAGGCCGAACCAAAAGGCCAAAACCTTGCCGGATCCAGGACCTCGCGCACCTCGCCTCCCCCCTGCCTGCTTGCCAGAACCAGTCCAGGCCTGACACTGGGCACCCAAAAGGCCGAACCAAAAGGTCAAAGCCTTGCCGAACCCAGGACCTCTCGCACCTCGCCTCCCCCCCTGCCTGCTCGCCAGAGAGCCGGTCCGGGCGGCGCCAATCCCCCGCGCAGTCCCCGCTGGCCTCGGCAGGCCCTCCGAGCAGTCCGGGTCGTTTGAAGGGGGGGGATGGCAAAGGGGGGGGTTGAGAATCAGCGCACGCAGCTGAGTTTCCCGGCGCCCCCCGGCGCCGGAAGACAGCTAAGTATGTATCGAGGAATGGGCCCCTCGGCGGGGCCGAAACCAGCTGCGTGCAGCAACTTTCGTAACCCCCCCCTGTCCCAATCCCCCCCCTTTTCGTCCGGCTCGAGCAGCCCCGGGCGGTCTCGGCACCCCAGCCCTGAGGCGCGAGCAGCGAGGCCGCCACGGAGACCACTCGAGGGACCCACCGAGGCCGGCCAAGGGACTGCCTGGCTTCGTGTCGCCCCCGTGGCGCCCAGGAGCGCGCCCAATGTCGCGAGTCGAGCGGGCACGATGCCTCTCCCCCACCTGGCGCTATCTATTGGGCGCTAGTGGTCGCTCATGGGCGCGAGTCGACGGCAATCCGAGCGCCACGTGGCGCCCTTCACCGAGGATGCGCACTCAGCCCAGGACGGGCGGCAGCTGCCGTCGACAACCATCTCAACCTTGAGCGGCTGTCTCCGCGCAGCCCGAAGACTTACCAGACTCACGGCAACCCCCCTCCCTGAGGGGCAACGATAGTGAAGGGGCCATGGGACACACAAAGAAATACACACAAATAAAAGGATTCCCCATATCTTCCTATATTTTCTGGGTTTCTGTCTTCCCCCCCACTTCCTACATTTTCCTATATTTTCTGGGGAATCGACGATTAATTGTGTCTGTGTGTTTTTTCTCCTCCTGAGATAGGGGGGAAACTGGCATCGGGGGGGTGCATCGACGTGGGATCGGCGACACCTCGCCGACAGATCGGCGGTAGCGCTGCGATAGCGAATCCGCACCCTCCTGGGCGGGTTGGGGCCATCAGACCCCTATCGGCGATCAATGGGCGATTGGGGGTCGATGCATTCCCCCACCTATGCCGATCCCGGGCAGGGCAAAAGAGGGGGATAGCAAAGGGGGGGTTTGGGAATCAGATCGCGTAGCTCATTTACCCGGCGCCGGGAGGCGTCCATGTATCGAGGAATTGGCCCGGCGGCGGGGCCGAAACCAGCTGCATGCAGCAGATTTCGTATCCCTCCCCTTTCCCTATCACCCTTTTTCGTTCGGCCCGACTATTCGGGAGCGGCCAACAAGAGGGGGGGTGCAAATCATGACCGGCGGCATGTGCGCGGCCCAGCGGGAAGGCCAGGGACGCAATGAAATGAGAAGCGGCGCCATGAAATCTGGGGAACTATCATGGCCCCCACCATGATATCCCCCCCCCCCCAGTCAGCACCCCCCCCTCTTCTCCGCCCCCGAACGATCCCCCCCCCTCCTTGACTACCTACCAGACCACCCCAACCCAACCCGAAGACTCGAATTTGACCCCAATTTCGGGTTGGGGGGGGTACGGGTTCCATGTGTTTTATCCAACGTTCCCCGACCCCCCCCCCCCCACTGGAAATTGAGGGCAAATTAAGGGCTTCGGGTTAGGTTGGGGTGGTTTGGTGGGTGGTGACTCCTGTCGTTGCCCCTGACCACCCCCCCCCGCGCCGAGCGCGCGGGTCCCCGGCGCCCAGCCCGGACAGGGCCGCCGCCGGCGGAGCGGCGGCGCCGGGGTCGCTCGTCCTGGCATATGCCGGCGCGCCCCGGCCCTGCGTGCGCGCACGCGGCCGGGGGGCGCGCACACGCGCCCCCCCCCTCCGCGGAGCTGGGCTCCGCGGGGCCCCGTGGGCGGAGCAGCGCGGGCGAGGCGGGGGTGGATCCATCGGGAGCCTCGAGACTCGGCGGTGGACAAACCTCCCTTTCGTATAGACCTCCCCTCAGTGAGAGCGGCCGGGGACCGAAACCGTCGGACCTGGACCCGCAAGAATGACGGCCGCGCCGCCCTCTCGCGAAGCGAGAACGGCCAATGCCTTAATCGACGTGTCAGGGTGGGAGGTCTGTCCACCCCCGAGAGACGGGGGTCCAGGCAAACGGGGGTCAGCCACAGGGCCCGATCTTGCAGGATCCTGCACATGGCCAGGGTCGCACTGGCCCGGGCTTAGGCGGGCGCAGGATCCTGCCAGATCCCGCAGGATCCTTCGTCTTTGACCTGGGCTTGGGTGCAGGATCTTGCAGGATTCTGCAAGGCTTGACTGACCCAGGTTTGGATTGACCCGGGTCAGAAGATCCCCGATGATCCATGACCACCTCACGCTTTAGTGGCAAGTCACGGCATGAAGAGCATCCTGGAGGCCTCGCGCGGCAGGAGCGTCATCTTGCTGGCTCTTGCGAGTCGACGATGACAAACGCGAATCGACGCTAATCGATGCTGCCGGCACCCTACAGATGTTCAGACGCTAGCAAACAACAATGCGCTCCGAATTTAGTTTCGAGAACATGCAAAGCCCCATGGATTGCTGCCAGAACCGTCTGTGGATCGATCTTAGGGGACATCGGTAGGCGGTGGTTATGGATTCATGGATAAATCCCGCCCTCGCTGTATATACCTGTCCCAATTGGCCGACCTCCCCACCTACGTGAGGATAGATTCGGAGTCAACTCCAGAGGGGTCTTCGCAAGCACGGTCAATAGCTAACATGCTCGATTTTGGGGCCATGAAGCCAAATTTGCCCTGATTAAGCCCCCAGGGCTAGCCAAATTAAGCGGGGCCAGGCGCGATGAAGTCCGGTCGTCGGCCACAGATACACCGGGGCCGCTGCTAAAATAAAAATCCAGAATAATAATATGAATGCGATTATTAAGAATATAATCAGGAATTGCATCCAGCGATGATTACATGTCTGTTCCTTCGGGTTTCGCGGGGCCTATCCCCATCCGAGAGGGTGGGCTGATGGTGTGCGGCCGAGGTACCATGGCCCGCTGGAGATGGGGATGGGGACAGGTAAGACAATGGCAACGATGATTTTGGTCAACCAGGAGGTTGGTGCGGCGCCAGGAGAAACTGCAAGCGTAGATCGAAACATGTTCGTTATTTGCCCTTCCGTCCAGCCAGGGGTTGTAAAATCCTGCTTCGCAAAGTCGGACCCGCCGCCCCGCGGCCACGGACCACGTGCACTGCATGCTTCAACTGCCCGTTGTTTTCGTCATTCGAGCCACAGGCCTACAGCAGCTCGTTGTTTGAATCATTCGAGCCGCCCACCACCAGCCCCTGCCACTGACGCCACAATTCGCACTGGCGTCGACTGGAGAGGGATATATTTCAATAACGCGCCGACGCTAATCGTGACGTTACCCCCTTATCCTGCCAGTAACATCTGTTACCGCCAGACGGTAAACAGAGCAACAAGCTTCAAGCACAACGGGAGATCCACAAGCAGACCGGGACGTTTCGACACTGCTTGATCCACCTCCTCCTCCTCTTCCTCCTCCAGCTCCGCTCCATCTCCAGAAGGAGATGGAGGAGGAGGGGGAGAACCACCATGTCTTGATGGGGAGAACGGGTAGTGCTAATCAAAAGCGCCGCACACATGGCTCCACAACGTGAGGCCCCGGGCAAACCACGCACGTCGCACATGACATCGCCAAGAGCGAGAAAGCCAATTCAAGAGAAAAAACAAAATAACATACAACGGAGAAACGAGACAAACAACTTCACGGCAAGTACCCCCACTGAGCTTCCGGAAGAAGAGGGAGCGCTTCCACAATCCCTCCCCGTTCCCCGTGGAAAGGGGGGAGGGGGGTGGTCCCGCGGTGGACAGGGGAACTCAAGGCCGCCCCCCTCCCACTCCTCCCCCCACCAGTTCCCCCTGCTGGCCATCGTTCGGACGTCCATTCCCTGTGTTTTTGTTCGGTCTCGTGCGTGGGCATTTTCGCCAAATGATCAAGGATGCTCCTCGATGGTCCTCGCCGAAGGAAAAATGCACACGTCCGAGCGATGCCAAGCCTGTGGACAAGGGGGACAAGGAGGTGGTCTCCCTTTGGAGAAGGGGGAACTCAAGACCCCTCCTCCCGCCTCCAGAGACCCTTCCCTCCCCACCCCTCCTCCTGGACCCGCCCCCCCCCCAGGAGACACCCTTCTCACTGGGGGCCACATGCGAACCCTACCCCTACCCCTCACGAGTTCTGAGGGGGAGGGTGGGGTTCGCTTCGCTCGGGAGCCCCCGAACGAAGTGAACCCCACCCTCCCCCTCAAAAATCGTGGGGGGTAGGGGTAGGGTTCGCAAGTGGCCCCCTCCTCCCTCTTCTCTGCCATTGCGAAGTGCTGCGCATCTCGACACATGCCCTCAAAGAGGCCTCAGATCCGCTCCGAAGCGGCTCCAGGTGACCACGGAGCTTCCCAGGAAGTAGCCCAGGAGACCCCCCGGCAGAGCCCAAGAGGCGCATACGACGGCCCCAGGAAGGGCTCCAGAGCGTCGGCGTAGTCATCGTCGCTGTTGTCGTCGCCGCCACCGTCGTCGTCGTCGTCATCCCCATTTCAGGGTCGGCGGCACCAGCCGTAGGGCCTTCGCAATGTATGAACGCGCAGCATATAGAGTGATGATGATGAGGACGACGACAACGACGACGACGATGATAGTGCTGATGCTGGTGATGATGATGATGATGATGATGATGATGATGATGATGATGATGATGATGATGATGGTGGTGGTGGTGGTGGTGGTGGTGGTGGTGGTGGTGGTGTTGATGGTGATGAGAATGCAGATAATGAAAATGGTGATGATGGAGATGATGGCGAGGATGGTGGTGATGGTGGTGATGATGATGATGGTGACGATGATGATGATGATGATGATGATGATGATGATGATGATGAGGATGATGAGGATGGTGATGGTGGAGATGATGGTGATGATGATGCTGATGATGCTGATGAAACTGCTGCTGATGATACTGATGATGATGATGATACTGATGATGATGATGATGATGATGATGATGATGATGATGATGATGATGATGATGATGATGAGGGCATTCCGATAGGCCTACCACGAAATTGCCTCAGAACCCATAAGTGTTGGAATTACAAAAAAATGTTCTTAGAACATGAGCCCGACGTGTTGAGACAAGACAGTCTGAGCCAGAAGCGTTCTGAGAACACTTTGTGCAGACCACAAAAGGTTATTATAACATTTGTTTGGAAGGCCTATCAGCAAACCAACTAGGAGGCAACTACTAGGAAGTCTTCGTCGGAAAGACCAAAGAGGATTAGGCCCCAATGGGAGGCTGATACGCCAGAGTGGGCCTCGGATTGAGCGGGATTGAGCTGGATTGAGCTGGATTGAGAGGGATCAAGCCGGATAAAGCGGGATCAAGCCGGATTTCGGACCAGGGCAAGATCAGAATTTGACCTCCCAGGAGTTGCAGCCGAAAACCAGGACGCCTCGCCGCTGCTTGAACGACGCCGTGCAGGGGAGAGAGACGGGTGCGGGCGAGGGGGCGCTGGTCGGGGGCGGCCAAAGAGGGGGGCGTCCAAGAGGGGGGGCGCGACTCATGGCTGGGGGCATGTGCGCGTCCTGGGGCGGGGGGAGGCGGGGATGCAATGAAAGAACTTTGGAGAGATGTCATGGCCCCCGCCGTGACATCCCCCCACCTACAGTCATCACCCCCCTCTTGTCGGGCTGGGCGAAAGGGGGGGATAGCAAAGGGAAAGTTTGAGAATCAGCACACGCATAGCTGATTTTCCGGGCGCCTCCCAGCGCCAGAGGCGGCCCTGTATCGAGCAATGGGCCCCTCGGTGGGGCCGAAACCAGCTGCATGCAGCAAATTTCGTAGCCCCCCCTTTCCCTATTTTGAGCAGGTATTGATTGTCCCAGCATTCCTATAGTCCTACCACGTAATGTTGTTAGAACCCAAACATGTTCTAAGAACAAAAACCATGTTCTTAGAACATACACCCGATTTTAGAAAACAGGACAGACTCTGCCAGAAAGTTCCAAGAACATCTCGTGCTCGTGGAAACTACAAACGGTTCTTAGATTGGTAGGGCTGCCGGCGAGCCAAGACGCTTCGCCACTGCTGGACTCTTCCCCCTCTCGTCCGGCCCGATCTTGGCCGCCCCCGACGCCGGCGGTCCTCGGCGAGTTCGCCCCGGCGCTCCTCGGCGCGCCGCGGGCGGGCGCGCGCCCCGGCCGGTGGCCGCCGCGCGGCGGCGGCCGCTGTTCCGCGCCGGACGCGCACTCTCGGCGGGCGCACTCGCCGGGCCCCCGCAGAGCCAGCACAGCGCCCCGCCGACGACGGGGGCTCCACGGACGTTTGGTCGGGCGTGTCCTCCTGCAGGGGGAGTTGCGGAAGGAAAATTACCGGGTCGGGCGAAAGGGGGGGATAGCAAAGGGGGGGTCTGAGAATCAGCTCACGTAGCTGATTTTCCGGGCGCCTCCCGGCGCCGGAGGCGGCTATGTATCGAGGAATGGGCCCCTCGGTGAGGCCGAAACCAGCTGCATGCAGCAAATTTCGCAACCCCCCCTTTCCCGATCCCCCCCTTTCGTCCGGCCCGAAATTAAGACATAGCCCCAACATGCGCGAAGCATGCTCAGCAAAAAGTCCAACGATCGTCCCTGGGCAATTCTGTGATCATGTTTGTTACTCTTCCTCCTGTAGGAGGAAGGGCACGCCCGACTCGACACTGACGGGCACTGTGGCCAGTGACCGGGCGAATCCAATCCTCCCGGATGTGGGCAAGGCTGCCATGCCGGAAAGTGGCCCTAACTACGGAAACGAACTCTATATACCGACGCTTTTCCCGACCCTGCGCTGAAATTTCGCACAAGAACGCGGATGCTGGTGTATACGGGATCCTGGTGTATACATTTTTCGTTGTTTCCCTTGGAAAACGGAAGAAAGGTATACACCACACCACCCTGACGTCGTCCCTGACCTTAAAAAGTCGTGGGATTGAAAAATAAGCCGTCACTGGTCATGTTTGTGTTCCAGTTTGCGACTAACGTGGCAGCTGTCGGCAAGTGTCCAAACTCTTTACGGTGCCGCTCAAGCCAGGGCTGGGGGCTCCCGCCGGGATTAAGTCGGGCGTGTCCCTCTCCAGGGGGATTTTCCGACAAAAAATAAAACATACTAAAACGATACTCCAAATTGGTCCAACAAAATATTCAAAAATAGTCCCCATACTATTTCTTTGACTATTTTTGAATCTCCCCCCCCTGTAGAAGGACAGGCTCGACGCAACGCCAGGATGCTCGCGGTCCGTCTCGCCGGCTTCGCGACCTCCCAAAGGCCTCCCCACCTGCAGGCAGGCTCGCGCCGCGAGGAAACAAATGCACGGCGGGGGGCTTCTGGCAGGGCTCGGCCCCCTGG